GTTTCTTTCACTGTACCGACGGCACTGTCAAACACCAGCAAGATGAACTACTACTTAGAGTACATAGAGGGAAGAAGGGGGCAGGAAGGGAGCAGTGTTGTCAAATGAGTGTGTCTTAAGTGGAAGGGGGAGGGGGGGTAGTGTTTACATGGGCTCGATGAAAGGGCTTTTCTAGTAGGCCTTGTTTGACATGGCCAGGAAAACTAATGAATATGTTCTCTCTCTCTCTCTCTCTGTTTGTCTGTCTATCTTCCTCTAAAATCGCATATCTTCGTCTTGCCATCTCATGCACAATATCCCTCTCCCTCACTTCTCTCCCCTCCGTCTATCTGAATATCTGTCTTCTTCTTTTCTTTTTTGTTTCAGTTTGTACAAAGCGGAGTCTGTTGAAAAGAGGCCTTTTAGCTTTTTGGGGGTTTGTGGGGCCACGGTTGTTAATTGTGTGTTTACAGTGGCCCCTATATCCTGCCATCAAGGCCTGAAAAAACGCCTATAGGGGAGACCTGAAAGCTCACACTGGCATCTGAAAGGCCGTTTTAGTGAAAAGAGCTTGAAACAATTACAGTGTCCGTGAAGTGACTGGAAATTCGGCCAGTTTCAGAGCACAAATCGTTTGACCTGCTGTATGTTTTGACATTGGTGGTACTTAGTGTGGTTTGGACTAGATTCCCATTGGTCAGTGCAGTTTTCTTTTCATACAGGGGTTGCACCTAACAGCCAGGACCACACCACAGGGCCAATCTTTTCTGATACTTGATGTTTCCACTCATAGTCCTTTAATGTTGCCCTCAAAACAATACATTATATGATGAAAAGCTGCCTTCTCTTTGAATCTCTCTATGAAGCACTTTGTAACAATGTGTAGACTTTTTTCCTCCTGTTTACTCTGAAATACATGTTCTCTCCATGGAGGCAATGTTTTTTTTCTTGAAGATATAAGATCTGAGAACATTCAGGATCAGAGCCTTCTTGCTTTTTCGAAACAGCAGAATATTTGACCTTGGTCACTCTCCCTCCCCCAGACAGATGGGACAGGCTCGTATAGGAAAACTACCCGTTACCTCAGGACCAGCGGTCTCTGCATCCAAAGTAATTAGTACAAAGGCAACAAAAACAGTAGAGAGTCAAGAGCAAAAAACTATTAAGATGAAGTAGTATGATGTTGGGCGTAGAGTATGAGATAGAGATACGATCGATGCCTGACATTTCCAAAGGAGATAGGTAATGATAGAGTATTTTCACATACACTACTAGAAAGAATGATACAAATAATAGTTAATAATGTGATGCCATTTTTATAAAAGCACACAGTGTAATGAAGACTAGCTCACAGCGAAGAAAATTTCGATGATATACATTTTTAATGGGAATTTATGTAATATTGACTGGTTTTAAATGAGATAATCTAATACATAAAGTGTTGGGAAACTCACTTAGCTTCTGTGCAAGGAGCACTAATGCATTCTGCTCGGCTGTGGCTTTTCTTTTTGTCTGTCCTCTTTATCTTTCTCCCACTGTCTTTCTCACACGCACGCACACACACAGAGGCACACACACACACACACACACACAGAGCAGTAGCCAGGGATCCCAGGTGCAGGATGGATGTGAAAGGCTTTGTGTTTTGTCAACAGCACAGCAGCACCTCACATGACTATCCAGTGAACTCACACAGGGAGGACAGTGCAAAGAAAGTGGAAGATGAGAAGAGGAAAAAAGAGATAGGGGGTATATAAGGAGGTAGGGAGGCTGTTGAGATTTGAGAATAAATTGGAGGAAAGAGGCAAAGATGGGCTAAAGAAAGAGATATAGGACAAAGAAGAAAAAGGGGGGAGAGAGAGAGAGAAGGGTTGGCATCGGGTGAGACACAAAGTGAATGAGTAATCGGGAGCAGGATGGAGTAAGTGATGGGAGGGAGGGGGACAGAGTGAGAGAAAGGGTGGAAAAGGCCAGTGGCCTCTGCTCGGTTCCCTCTGTGTGCTGCTAAACTGCCCACCAGTTCCCCGCAGCTCTGTCACTTCTCGTTTGTTAATTCCCCTTTCTTCTCCCCCTCCTACTCTTCCTCGCTCCCTTTCTCTCCAATCAGTCAATTGTTAGTGTGACCCCTTTAAACCCCACCGTCCCTCTCTTGCAGTATTGTCAACACAGTATCAGTGTGTGTGCAAGAGAGACATTTAGAAAGCGAAGTGCTTGATCACAAATGACTATGCTCGTTTGAAAGTGTCTTCTGCAGTTATTGTTGTATTGAAAGTTTTCCTTGTGCAGAGGAAACATCGAATAAACAGGATATTATGAAGCTACAGGAGTGAATTCCTTTTGTTTCTTTTCTGTTTCTGTTAAGTTGAGGAAGCAGCATTGAGCGTATGAGGCATACGATATCAGTTTAATACCCGCACACACTACCTCACTGATGAAATGGGACTTTGGACTACCAATGAAAGTTGTGGGTTAGAAAACCAGTTGCTGGTGTATACTAAAAAATGTTATAGTCAACATAAATGAGATGAATGAGCAGGAACACCTCATGCATTGAACAGCATTTGCTCCTTGATCATAACACAAAGGACTTTCTATTGCTATTAGCATTAGCTGTGACTTTCCTTGCTTTGAGCCTTGGTCACTGAAGTCAGCATCACTTAAAGCTGTGGTTCCTTTTTGTGAATACAGAGTCATGATTGTCAATCAATACAAGCGCAGCACATTGACAACAAAGCACATAAGTGACAGTGATCAAGAGAGAAAGAGACATTTGTGACGCACACGGGCATATATTTCTCGGCTTGAGTGTGTAGTATTGCGAGTGTGCACTTGTGTCTGTATGTTTCAGTCTATTAAGGAGCTTCAAGCGTTCATCCTTATAGGAAGTTCTTTGATGTTTTGTGAAAGACAGCCAAGCTCAGATGAAAGAGAAGATACCACATCCATTATCTGACGTTTGGCTGACAGCCCTGCAAAAATATAGCACATTTTCAAGGTTCCATCTAATCCAATTCATTTTATCAAAGTTTAGGCTCCCTGTAGATAATCTCCCTATCCAATGAACACTATTAGCCCTCACGCCTTATTATTCAGTTAGTTTCATTAGCCACACCCCACTCGAGATGCCTCCAAAACAAGGTGCATGCTAGCTTGTTAACTGTTATAATATATTTCATGATGGAATATTATATCCAAGATAGTACAAATGAACAGCACAACTTCACGAGGCAGCACTTTGTTTTTGATGAATTATATTTTTACGGGGATATCAGACCAGCATAGAACCTTGCATTAATTACTTAAGTCATTATAATATTCCAGCAAAATGATAGATCTTGAAGTAATTTAACTTCAGTGTGTATACTTCCAGGACGAGTTGCTTAGGATTAACACTAATTGAAAAAGATGAAAGTTGACTACCAAAGCTGAAACTGAAATTAAAAAATCTTAATATAAATCCCCTGCCTCTGAGCTTTGTTTCATAATGGAACTGTTATCTGCTGGACAAGTGTGCAGACATTTAAGCTGTCGCACCAAAACCTGTTGTCGTGATTGAGCACATGAGCTAAGAATGGAGCATAGAGTGTGAAAAGATGGGCAATTAAAAACACTGTGTGGGAAATACCAGTTTTAGAAGATTTAGAAGGACACGTACTGGGTCCCGTTAGCCATAAAGGGTTTTTAGCTATGGCTGGCCCATTTGTGTAACTCCTATGCTTCACACATTTTTCATGTAGACTATATGCTGAAAAACACATTTTTTTTGTTGCACTTGAGGTCAAACCAGCTTTACACCCTAATATGTAAAAGTGGCCAGTTTTTGGTTCTCCAGTGCTCAGCCAGCATCACTCATCACACTCTCTGCAAGAGTGACAAAAGCCTTGCTCTTCTTAACTTGAAAAATGTACCAACTATGCAGTGTTTGTGCTTTCACTTTCTAAGAAGGATACCTCAACCGCTTACACTTCACTTCATGTACATGTATGGTTCGTACATTCTGACTGTACCGTTCACACATACTGTTTGTGTGTTTATTGATTTTCATTGTTTGTAAGAAGCACCTCCTTAAAAAAGGAAACCTGAACTCAATAACGAGAAGTTGAAAGAGGAGTAGGAGAGCAGATTCAGTTCAATATCTGCTCGTAGTTCATTTCAGAGAGGAAGGACTCGTGCTTATTTTGGACCATCTCTGCTTGCAGCTGTTAAGCATCTGGTCTCAATGATCATGTTGGAATGAATAAAGATCTTATCAGTAGGGAATACAACAGCTTCGGTCTAATTCTTAGGAGCTAAAATAAAAAAAATAAAAAATCAGCTGTGACACAGTATCAGGTGTACAAGTTCGTACTAAATGTGTCATCATTTCTTCGTGGAGGCATTATAGTAAATTAGATTATGTTTCAGTTCAGTCAGCTGGCTCTTGTGAATATTTGGGTTTATAATGTGAATACAGCTAAGTGTGCACAGAGTTGATATTTGCCGTCTTGGCTCTGACCTCGTCACTCCCTGCAGCGTGTATACCAGCGCAGCAGAGATTGGGGGAGTAAAGATAAAAAGCCTCTCCTCAGGGGAACTCGGTGGATGCTGAGGCTCTGCTCTGCTCATGACATAAACTATGAAAAGCAGAGGCCGCGGCAGAAACACCTTTTAGAAATATGTTTGAGCATGTTTCACCGAATATTAAATACATTATATATGTCTTTGCTCTTTATTTATGACTTAAAAGCTTTTGTTTTTAACTTAAACATTACTTTCTTTCCCCCCACTCACTAAGCTTCACAGATGATGTAACCCCCTAGGTCTGGCTGTGTTACTGCAGATCTTTTCTATTTTGCAGATGCTCTCTAGACTAAACACCCTCTAGTAGCCTGAGCCCAAACATTTGATGGCATTAATAATGCAATACTTGATCCTAGCAGTGATAGTGCTTTTTCCTCTCTTAAAATGTTTCATGAATCTATGATGCATGCATGTGGTTTCAACTCGTTTTTTCCTCTCTCCTCTTTTTGCCTGTTTTACAGGCAATATATTGGACAGTATGCTGCTAAGAGCATCCAGTAAGGATTCAGTGGAGAGTGGGAAGGAGACTAGTGGCAGCACAGCTCCTGCTTCATCCTCCGAACGAATACTGTGGTGTCACTGTTATCACCACTGCCCCGAAGATTCAACCAATAATACATGCAGGTACTGTAAGGAGTGGAGTATCAAAAAAACAACAAATGTAACACACGTCCACACGTCACACATTCTCTTGTCTCAGAGGTTGCTTTACATACTGTCCATGTTTTCCAGGACTGATGGCTACTGTTTCACAATGGTGGAGGAGGAGGGAGGGGTGCCGGTCCAGACTGCAGGATGCCTCGGCCTCCGAGGATCAGAATTTCAGTGTAGGGTGAGTAGATGATAGTAACATTACAATCCACATAACTGCTCCCTTTTGCAATTATCTCTGTAGCATGCTCTATCTCAGATCTTAATTTAGATGTAAAGAAGCAGGCAATTCTTACATGACTATACTCATGTCACTTTATGTGACTTATTTGTCACACAATTACATTTAAAGCTGTAACTATAAATAATATACATTTTTGATTTGTTAAGATTTTTTTTCAATTTAATTTTAGATTTTTTTTCATATCAAATACCTTTAATTAGATTAATATTTAAAAATGTACATCACAATATCCCAGAGACAAATGTAACATCTTCAAACCCCTTTTTAAAATTGAAAAATATAAATAAAGATATATATATATATATATGAAACAAAACAGAGAAAATAAAATGCAACGATTGTCAAAATTGTTGAATAAATATTGGCTAATCAGTTTATTGTTTATTCAACAACTGAACACAAAAATTATAAAAAGAAAGAAAGAATGACACAAGAAAGAAACACTTTTCTGTCTTCCAGGAGACCGGGAACGCTCGTCAAAGGAGATCACTGGAGTGCTGCACAGACCAAGATTACTGTAACAAAAACCTGCATCCTACACTGCCACCACTCAAACCCCCTCGTAAGTTTGTCTATCGCTCTCCTCTCATCCCTCCACAACTCTTTCTTGCCCATGAAACACAAGAAAGACTTTTAAGAGCTACTTGTTCTCCAGCTGACAGGTGACAGTGACAGTGTGGCAATGATACAGGGCCGAGAACTGTGAATGATGGCGTTCCAGCTCAGAGGAGTCAGAGATAGAGATATCATGATGTGAGTCAAAGATGGCTTAAGTGGGGGAGACAGCAGGAGTTACTGTCAAACTGTCCTGGAGCTCGCCAAATATGCTGGGTGTCGAGAGAATACCACACAGAGAATATAGTGTCTGTGAACAACACTATACACCATGTGCAAGTGTGAGAGTCTTTTTGTGTATTTGAGAGACGGTAAGCTTAGATTCCCCGGGAAATCACAAGCCCCAGCAGACACCGAGGGCAGTCATCAATCTGAAACCTTATCATAGGGGATCAGGAAGAGAATTCATCGACTAGGCTGACGGCTTCCTTTCGTTGACTTGGGGCCTTGAGGGAAAACAGTGTGTGCCAGAAGAAAATTAAAAATTGATGAGTGAAATATGATTTGTCCTTGATTTACTGGACAGTGGTTCTTTCAAGTTAATTGTAAGAATGACTGATGTCTTGGTATCACTTTCATTATTTCCCCCCATGTTTTAGGGATGCTAGAGGTTTTGATTTGAGATGTTTTGTTCTGACATTATTTCATGTATCTTCATACCTTTATCCTTCCCCTCTCTTCTGTGCCATTGCACTTTTCCTCTCTTGCCATCCTGCATACCTTTTTTTTCACCTCTTCATCCTCCCCTCTCCAGTCTTTGTAGATGGAAAGATCCACCACATGGCCTTGTTGATCTCAGTCACTGTGTGCAGCATTATTCTGGCTGTCATTATTGTCTTCTGCTACTTCAGGTAAATTATATGTGACAATCAAATACACACAACTCCAGATATGTTCACACTTTGTACTGCATTCTCCAGCAACACTTTTGAAAGAGCTGAATAATTCTGTGCTTTTACAGGTATAAGTGTAAAGAGTCTCGTCCTCGGTACAGCATTGGTCTGGAGCAGGATGAGACCTACATCCCCCCTGGAGAATCTCTGAGGGACCTGATAGAGCAGTCACAAAGCTCTGGCTCAGGCTCAGGGCTCCCTCTATTGGTGAGATACTCATATTTCAGGTTCCACTTAAAATGTTAGGAGCTAAATGTGCTGGAACTAACCCCTTTTTCACCTGTTGCTCCTCCGTAGGTGCAGCGAACAATAGCCAAGCAGATCCATATGGTGAAGCAGATCGGCAAGGGGAGGTATGGCGAGGTGTGGATGGGCAGATGGAGGGGAGAAAAAGTTGCTGTTAAAGTATTCTTTACCACTGAGGAGGCTAGTTGGTTCAGAGAGACTGAGATTTACCAGACCGTCCTGATGAGACATGAGAACATATTGGGTAAGACTGGTTCCTGTCTTTAAGTCATGTGTCATGTATTACTTCTTTAATTCCTGCCCCTTCTCATTACTGATTTCTAGATTTCTAGTCTCTATCTGTAATTTTGAAGTCTGTATGCACCTCTTTGTCAATCTATTTGTCTGTGTTTTTCCATTTACTCATGTCTTTAAAATCAATCTAAGTAGACTCTTTGTGCTCCATCACAATTAACAAAGAGCCCAACAGGATATTGAAGGGACAGTGATAAATAAGTTTGTCTAATATAGTATCAGTTATACTAAACAATACTAAATTATGGATGAACGGATGGATGAAGGGGTGCATTGAGAGGTGACTGCAAAATTAACAATAAATACACGCCATAGTTGGAGTGGGACTGTGTCCATTGTTAACTATGCTGCACTGCACTGCACTCACTGCCAAAACAAATCAATTGTAGCCAAGAGACCATACACCCCAACAAATTATAAAGAAGACAACAACAGACTGCATACCAAAGCTTGTATAATTAAACACTACAAGTTGCATAGTAATGAAGTAGTGGAGCAAAAGATATCTTGCCTGTGAACTTGAAGACAGACTATATGAAGACAGTGCATAATGTGGCCTTCCACAGTCAATGCTACATTTATTTTGGATTGAGCACTCGGATCTATAATATCGACGTCATGAAAACCACAAATCAGACAACTGCCAAGATTAACATGTTCATTGAGGGCTACAGGACAGCTTCCTAAAAATAAACAAACTTCAATGCTTGAAATTACTTACATTTAAACTGACTTTGCATGATTAGTTTCAAAAGTAATTACTACTTCTATGATTAAGCCTAACTGATTCAGTGGAGACAGACTTCCTGTGGGAGTTACAATGTGGTGTACGAAAAGGAAGCTATTACTATTCTCTATATCCACCAATGGCCTTCCTCTTGTTCTCAATCAAAGAAAAGAAGTTCTGTATGCAGATGATACAACACTATATTTACAAGAGGTATCAATTGAAGGAATGCCTAGTGAATTGGATAGGGAATTACAATCAGTGGTGATGTGGGCGTGGAGTACAAAGTTTCTTCTTAATTTATCAAAAACAAAAATAATTGTATTTGGATCAAATATTAAACTTAAACATAAGCCACATTTGAATTTGTCTGTACAGTGGTGCCTGTGGAAGAGGCAAAGGAAACCAAATTCCTAGTAGTAATGGCCATAACTTTAATAATATAGGCATGCATCAAGAGGTTGATCTTCACTTACTGTTTCATAAACTAATACTAGGCAACGTACTGTTGTGTTTAGAGGAATGAAAATATGGAATGGTTTTCCATCAGACATTACACATTTAACAAGTAAGACCCTGCTTTTTAAAAAGAGTTTAAGGAAACACCTGATTGCAAAGAACACCAGTCCTACATAATGAACCGTCTCGGTTTATTTATGATTCGACAACTACAGTATATGCATGTTTTTTTAAATGGTGTTTTTGAGCATTTGTGAGTATTGAATATTTTAAAGGTGTGGGTTTTTGTTTTGTTCTCATTTTCGCTAGCAGTTTTATTGTTGTTGATTTATTGTTTCTTGTAGATTTTTTTTGTTTGCTTGTTTTTTTTTCTTCCTTTTTTTCCTTTAGATTAAAATGACGTATTTGTGGTATTTTTGTATAGACCCCAGAAATAATAGTTACTACCTTGGTTATAAGTAATGGGGATAAATAATAGACAAAGAAAGAAAGATAACAGACTCCCTGCCTGTTTACCTCTTGTTTACTCTGCCTCCATTCACAGGTTTCATAGCTGCTGATATTAAAGGAACTGGGTCCTGGACCCAACTCTACCTAATCACGGACTACCATGAAAATGGCTCTTTGTATGACTACCTAAAATCAACCACTCTAGACAACAAAGCCATGCTGCGACTGGCCTACTCCTCTGTGTCAGGCCTTTGTCACCTCCACACCGAGATCTTTGGCACCCAGGGCAAACCTGCCATTGCTCACAGGGATCTGAAGAGTAAGAACATACTGGTGAAAAGAAATGGGACCTGCTGTATAGCTGACCTAGGACTGGCAGTCAAGTTTATCAGGTGAGTGAATCAGTCACATGTTTTGCTATTAAACATGATTTGATGAAATGCTCCTCTACTTGATTTGAATCCATATTGTGCTGAATTTAAGATATGGTAGAGAGTATTTTGAACTTGAGGATTAAGTAATGTGCATAAATGTGCATTCATCTGTCATTTTAAAATTCTTACTTTGATCTTCGCAGTGACACCAATGAGGTAGACATCCCTCCCAACACTAGAGTCGGTACAAAGCGCTACATGCCTCCAGAGGTTCTGGACGAGACTCTGAACAGAAGTCATTTTCAGTCGTACATAATGGCCGACATGTACAGCTTTGGGCTCATTCTCTGGGAGATCGCTCGCCGTTGTGTTTCAGGAGGTAGATACACTTTTAATGTATTTCTTTTTTGACACAAACACCTAAAAGGCAGGCTGACACAAGCATGTACTTTTTTGATGGCTATGCAGCACAGATTTTTGACACGTGAACAGAGTGTGTTTCCTTTTTATTCGTTGTAGGGATTCTTGAAGAGTACCAGTTGCCGTACCATGAGTTAGTTCATACAGACCCTTCATATGAAGAGATGAGAGAGGTGGTCTGCATCAAGAGACTACGACCATCCTTTCCTAATCGATGGACCAGCGATGAGGTAAAATGCATCAAAATAGGCTACGTATACACACGTATATACACAAATTCACAAAGTAATGACCTTCCTAACATAAATCTGTAACTCCTCAGTGTTTGAGACAGATGGGGAAGCTGATGACAGAATGCTGGGCCCACAACCCGGTCTCCCGTCTCACAGCCCTACGGGTCAAAAAGACACTTGCCAGGATGTCAGAATCGCAGGACATCAAGCTGTGAACAGGCACTGCCAGGCGTGTGTTTACACACATAGAAAGGGCACTATAGCAATCACACTGGCTCTGGTCTAGGCCACACACTCCTTTTTCCTGGGAACAGGAGGTGGGACAGGAAGCAAGATCACCACTTGAAGATCGCAGGATCACACACTTTATGAGTCCAGATGCCCAGAATTCTACAATCCGAGTCCCCCTCGAAAAAATGTGTTTCAGGACTCCAGTGGTTAAATATTTAGAACTAAAATTAGTCAAGAAAACAATCTGGCCCAGTGTGGCCCTGTCAGAGAATATGAGACATTGTCATTTCAAACTAACTCACGGTCCTGTTCACATTCTCCAAAAGCCCTGGAAGAAAAGATTGAGTTTAACTTGGCACTGTAGCTGCAGAAATATGCAAAACAAGCTACTGATCAGTGAGTGGAATACTATATCACTGCTTTCTGTGAAAGCTACCCTACCTGTAGATGAAGGTCCGATTGATATCAAAACACTGTCAACCCACTACTGCTTTTATGTTCTACAGTAATTGGATCGAACACACTTTTGTCCCTCTTAAATTGACTTATTTTACAATGACTGACACTATGTGGCAGGAAAAAAAGGTGTACTTTTGAGGCTTTAAAAGTGTTTTTATGGAGGTAACGTTTGATGACACTGAAGATAAGGTTCATCTGTATTTTTGACTGGATATGAAAGTTGAAAAAGCTTATTTTCCATGTAAAACTCAAACTCTTTTAGACCCTTTGTGAAAAATAAAGTTGATATGTCCAAATAAAATCTGGATTGAGGCTCCACATGCCTCTGTGTTTCCTTGCCCTGTGTCAGGGGAGGGGGGCTTTGCAGTAATGAAGCGATCGAAGCAGAACGATGCCACCCGTAGGTGCTCCGAAGCGATTACAGAAACTGTTGCACACTAACTGTATTGGTGACTTCTTGTTTGATGATGTAGTGATTTATTGTACATGTGTGGAATTGTGCCTGTGTTAGTTTAGGGGTATCACAAGTTGTTTGTCACGGGGGACTGCTATCATTCAGACACTCCCAATAACACAGAGTGGCTCCCATAAATAGGCTGATGATGGATGTGTGTGTTTTAGGCAACTGGACCACCACTTAACAGCCATACACACAATATTGTTGAAAAAGAGACTGGACCTAGAAAACGCCCACGGCCATCACCAAACTAGCACCAGAATTACCCCAGTGGACATCACCATCACCTGACCACCAGGCTGCCTCATACATATAAAATAAAGTACATGTTGAACTGATTCACCATAATAAACCATTTGCAGCTATTACACTGAAATCAAATGGCGATTGCCATTTAAAAAATCCATCACCTGGCTTCTATCAGGCGAGTTTCTCCGCTGATTTAAATGTTCACATGGTAGCAGTCAAGTATTAGAAAGCTTTATCAGCTCTGTCTCAGTAAGAAATAGTTCTCAAGGTAAATCTTGAACCGTTCATCATCACGGTTAGCAGACTGTTAGGTCTTCCACAGTGGTCTGCTGATACATTTTTAGCTTCTTTTTTTTAGTCCCTTTATCCTTGATGAACTTTGCTTCAGGTCGATGAGTTGTGTTTTTGTTTTTTATTTCTGACAACTAAAATAATGTAAGGCTCTATCACTGTCAAAGGTGTGGCAGATGTGTTGTGTTATACATGCCCTTTCTTTCCTCTTGGGTGTTGTGCCTTATTTAATCTGTACCTGTAGTTGTCTGTGAGAGAAAGTGCTGTTATTAATTCAGTGAAAAGGATGAACATTCTCCCTAATAAAGTGTTTCACTCATCCACATGGCTGATGCACAGTTTGTGGTGGCTGAATGAGGTGCAGACCAACCAGCTACTTGGCGCTGCATCTTATTGTAAAGGCACGTTCTCCATATTTTCATGAATTTCAAAGAAAAAAAAGGTATAAAGTCAAAGCATTGCCGTTCAAATGTATATATTCATGCTCTACAAATGGCACGATTTCATTATCAATTTCAATCCGACTCTTTATCGATTCCTGATGAGTTGATGGGTGGACCGTCCCGAACTAAAAAAATCGAAATGTGTCTGTTTTACTTTTTTTAAATTGTCGTCTATTGTGTTTTTTTTGCATAAATACACACATTAAATAATTTTATTTTTATTTAAATATTTGCATTAGTAGTTTTAAGTATGTATTATAAGTTGCTTGTGTGTGTGTGTGATCACACCCCCTATGCAGCAAAAATGAAAGTTAGTGCGTTCCATTGAAAAAGCCTGTCAACCCTGACAATAAATTAACCTTGTAACATTGAAATATCACTTTAATGAAATACTGACTTTTTATGACTCCCTATACTTTGATATTTTATGACTCCCCATACTATGATTTTTATGACTTTCTATACTATGAGTTTTTTTACTCACTTTACTGTGATTTTTCATTACTTGATATACTATGACGTTTTTATGACATACTGAATTTATGATTTTTAGGACATACTATAAATTACTTTTTATGACACCATACTATGGATTTTTATGACTTACTATACTATGTTTTTGTGACTTTTATTATGACATACAGTGACTTTTGACTTACCAAACAATAATTTATGAAATAATATTTTATGGCTTTTTATTAATTATTATATGACTTTCTTTTGTAAATTATTTCAACATACTATACTGTCTTTTTGTGACTTTGAGATTATTTCGACAAACTACAAACTAACTTTTTTCTTGACATTATTATTACTGATTTTGACATACCAATCAACTACAGTTACAACTACAGTTTGTCAACTACATGCCAAGGCCTGGTGATATAATAGGTTAATCATCGTTACAATTACAGTTTGACATGTCAATTTTTTCAACATACTATACTATATTCTTTTCGTAATCTTTTTTGATATACTTTAGTTTGACTTTTTCATATTTTTCGACATACTATACAATTACTTTTTCACAGTACTTTTCAACATACTATTCTATGACTTTTCGACGTACTATCTTATGTCATTTTTTCATATTATTTGACATACTATACAATGACGTTTTCACATGCGATTTCGACATTCTATGCTTTGACTTTTTATGATATTTTTCGACATTCTATGCTATGACTTTTTCACAACATTCACGACATACTTAAATATGATTTTTTTTACTTGTTTCTACCTGCTATACGATGACTTTTTTCAAAAAACTATAATATTACATTTTTCGACATATAACATTTTTCATACTATATTTTTCATACTATAGTACTAGTAGTAGTATAACTTTTTTATGAATTGTTTCGATATACTATACTATGACTTTATTCAACATACTATACTGACTTTTTCGATCTACTATGCTACTAATTTATCAAGACTTTTTTATACATTTTTTAACAAATTACTTTTTAAAACTTTTTTCGACAGACTATACTATGACGTTTTTATGACATTTTTTTTACATACTATGCTATTACTTTTTCATGGCCTTTTTTGACGTGCTATACTATGACTTTATTATATAAAACGAGTTATTTTTACTTTTTCCAACATACTATACTATGACATTTGTAGGACTTTTTTGACATACTATAGTATCACTTTTTGATCACTATTTTCATCATTGTTAATTTTTTCTACTTACTATACTAAGACCGTTTTATGACTTTTTTCGACATACTATACGATGACTTTTTCTGTCATTTTTCTGACTTTATTGACTAAATGCATTGTAAATGAATAAATAAAAGCATAGACTAAATTAGAATTTAACCTTTTGTTTTGCTGAGTAAAATTCCATCCACTATGTGCCTGCATTAGGAGAGGACAAGGCAAGAGAGTTTAAGAATGCGCTACTTGGATTCAAATATTCCTGTAAATGCAGTGGTTAAGTACATGATCCAAAATTGTTTTATTAAAGTTCACAATTCTTCTATAAATATTACTAACAGCTGCAAGAAATAGCCTAACAGGCTTCATAACTGTGATTGGTGATTTATTTTCATGAATAAAACCATTTCAATTCTCCCCCTGATTATTTTCATGAATGGCACACAGCTTACCTTACTTTTCCCCCCTATTCGATTTCAACACGGATTTGTTGTTCACAATATATCATTCTCAGGGAAACAATAGGGTTTGTCCCCTCAGGTTTAGTATTGCCATGCTTTTTAGCCTTTTTTTCCTCTCTGCCATGCTCTGGTCCCAAACAATCTGAAACTTGATACAGTGCGTTTGTGGCGTTATGTCATTGTGCATGCAGAATTGTCAGAACAAATTGAAAATGGAACCGATTGTCCCAGAGGCATGCGATTCCAAGGAATCAGACAACTAGGAACTGGTTCTCAAAAGGAAAGAGTTCTCTAATCCCATCCATATGTTTCAGACCTCACAGTACACGCTGCCATGTTGCTGTCATATGAGAGAAATTAAAGTTTCAAACCATTATATCTGTAGAAATAAGCCACCATAGGCACTACACATTTTCAGCATTGCTTATAAATATAATTTATTAATTGTCTTAAAAATTCTTTCTTACACTTTGTACAGAAAACAGTTAGAGGAAATAGAGAGGCGAGCATTCAGCAAGATTGAGCAAGATTCATGAAGCGTGCCAGAATTAGCAAAAGTGGACCATCACTACCCCACACTAACTAAATCAAATCACCCCTGATAGTAAAATAAAAATGCACTTACAAGCACAGCTCTAGTTATAGACTGCTATCATGATAACCAATGCCAAGTTTGCATAGTAGACACTGCTTTTACAAAAAAAGAAAGAAACATACAAACTAGTATCTAACTGTACTGCTCTTTTTTATATTCTCAAATTTGCCAAATATAGCTGACAGTACACAACTGTACATATTGTGAATACAAAATATTTTTTACATAATTTGTTATCTTAACACTACCTTCTTCATTTCCACATCAAGAAGGATCACCTTCTGGAGGCCTAACATTTGCCATCCTCGTATGAAAACTCAACTTTTCTGTCCTGCTGGTAAACTGTAGACTAACAACATGCCAAGGATCACATCGTGGTTACACTGTAACTTGTAACTTCAATTTCTTAACAAATCCTCTACTTGCACACGTATCATCAGTTGTCATTTGATTTTCTGTTCTGCACTTGAGTTATTAATAAGAGATGTTGATGATCACATTGTATATGAATGAGACACTGTCATGAACTTGGGTTGATATTTTCTTCTGAAATATACTGATGACTTGATGTTTTAGGCTTTAATCCTGAAAACTTATAGAAATCTGTGGTTACATTTGAAAACATACAAAACATCCACTCTGTCATTTGACCTTACACCTTTTCTAATTTGGTTAATTAGGCTGTCCGAAATAAAAAGATTCCTAATTTTGAGGCCTGCATGCCTTCTACGTCTGGTTTTACATCAAAACAAGAGCTCAGATTTCTTTCCTCCCATATTTATGGGGAATCAATGCGTCAAATTATTGTCTCAAAGTTTTCTTTTGTGCGGACAGCCGCAAGATGACAACTGTCACAAAGATGTAAAGAGCTGACCTTTTGTTTCAACATAGTCTTTGCCTACTCTGTGTTCTTTACAATATCCTCCTCAGTATCTCCTGCATACCTGATGTTCCGTTTCATATGGCGTCTCTCCGTAGTTCGGAGCAGAATCTTAACTCCAGATTTTTTGTATTCCCTTTGAGCTGAAAGTTAATTTTGTCCTCTAGATGGTGAATAGATTTCCCGTCCTCAGGGGGCATCTGACAGCCCTGAAAGTCACTAAAAATAAGGCTGTTTTTCCTCCCTCAAAGCTGGCTTGTTGGAGTTTAATCTTTCAGTTAGACACTGTTGACCCGTGTCTACACAAACATTTGAAAGCCAGCCCTGCTCCACAATATGTTCTGCAAAACACAAATATATTACACATCATTTTACATACAGTAGGCCCCTTGAGTTGGTATTTTGAGATTTAGCTTTAAATTGCAACTTTTTCGACAAATACACCACGAGTTGGAATGTGAGTCGCAGACAGAACATTGTTTTAGAAGGGCAAATAACTGATAAGTTACATACAGGTCACACCTATAAAAACATAAATATGGCAAGAAAAATAATGTGAATGTAAATAACACAAAAATGACAACTGAACAAAAATATTATGATATTAAAAGGTCATTAGAATGAACATGATAATAATGTATTTACACATTTCAGACAAAATGTAAATGCTGCTATTCTCCAAAAGCCACTGGATGGTGCTAGTGACCATGATCAAGTCATGGTGGTGACCACAATTGAAATCACACGTGACCTGATGGCAGACAACACAACTGACATCCTGTGATGAGAGCCAAAAATATTGTCAGAAATACATATTCGTAGGCTATATATATTTTAGTAAATTAAAATATGATTGATAAAATCAGTATATTGCGTACATTTAGCGGTAATGAATGATATCAGTTGTATTTAACTCACTATCACATAATACTATGGTAGTTTGTATATCACCGTATTTAAAAACACTCGTGTTTTATCTTTTAGTTCATCCCTTTTTGCTTCCTTTCAGTTTTCGCTGAGTTGGACCCTGTCCAGAAACAAGCTGTGACAGTCTATCAGAGACACTCCTCGAATCGAGGTTGTGGTTAACCAGATGTGGTATAGCCATGGCTGGAATTCCGCATCCTGCGTCTGCACTATAGAGCCTCATCCAAACTACTCCTCTTTGGGGAGGAATGGAGCAGAAGCAACACAAGTTAACACTTGATTTTACTGAAGGAATGCATTTGTCACTTGAAGATCCTGGTGAACGCACCAACAACTACAGAAATTGTTTTGCAGTTTCTTTAATTCACCTGAATAAAAATATACCATTTTAAAATGAGTAAACACTGATTCCAATAAAACAAACATATTTTGTACTATGTATGAGAATGCAGCTGACAGTCTGCCTCTTTGCCCTGTTTATCTGTTTATCATAGGTGGAATCTTGAATATACCTCTAAACAGACAGTTTTACAAGTCTGTCACAATCATACACTGCTGAAAACGGAGAACAAGAAATAGGCGTTTACTTGAATCCACCAGGAGCGTTGTCACCTTTGGATTGTGTTTTAATAAGATAATCAGAGGCACAAGTTAAAGACAAATGGACAGCAAGTTCAGTTGCTCTTTGACTTAGTACTTCTTGACTTCCTGTGACCTGGAGGACTTAATATCTAAATGCATATTGGAGGTAAGCCACAAACTCGATACTTAATATAACACAAATTAAAACATCCCTTATGATGTCAGCATAAGAAGGGGAAACATGTGGTCTTAGTCTTGTTTCTGGTCAGGACCCTTGATTGACAGTGTAGCAAATGACACACTGTTAGCGGGAAACGATCCACACATATGGACAGCAGAATACACAGAGCTTTCCCTAGGAAACGATATAAAGACAAGAAACTGTACTGGCAAAACTAGTACAGCCATGGCTCACAAGTGAGGGATCACCTCTTTATCTCCCCTCTCTCATTATCCGTTCTCCATCCTGTTTGTACAGAGGATCACCTGCGGCTTCTTCCATCAGTCCATGTTTACGTCCTGCCTCCCTTTTGTAATCAGCTTATCCTCTCCCTTAGTTTACTCTCGTCTTGCTAAAGAGTCTTGTCTCTGACTCACTCCCTCTTTTTCCTCACTCTAACTTCTCCTATTCGTTTGTAATCAGTTTAGCTTCCCTCCCTTTATGATTCTGTTCCATTCCTATAGAGGGTTTGCAAGGTCAGTACCTCTGTTGCTTCTTTTCTCTGCTTCTCTTTGTTCAGTATAAAGTAACAACAAGAAAACAACGAGTATTACACCAGACGTGTGTATGTTTTGTTTGTTCCTGATAGACTGTGTTTGTGTTGTGGGTTGGGTTATGTCTCCTTCGGTCACACAGCGCACTGAAACGTTGCTCTAATTAACACACAAAGATACACGCATAGTTTCTAGCACCAGCTCGAGCATCTCTCGTCTGTTACCGTGCAGGCATGATTACCGTGGTGTTAACCCGGTGCTCAATCACCACGGCTCAGTCATCTAATTCGTTCGTTGCTCTTGCTGCGGCATCAGCCGTAGAGAATTTTGCTTGTCGTCGTCTCCGGAGTTCTGTCATTGTCACGGTAACCACAGTGCCTCAGCAGTGTTCCGTTGTCATGGAGGCAAAGCTACCGTCATGGCGACCCATCTCTTCCAGCACGGCGGCCAGTTCATTTAGGTCTCCGTCCGGGAAGTGCTGGGACTCCCACAGGTCCAGGATCACACCTGTCGGACTGGACTTGGTGGCAAAGTAGTTCAGGTACCTGGAGACATTGAGGAGAGCAGAGGGACACGATATATGGTAAAATGTTTAATTCTCTCACCCTGTCAGCGCTAACTGTCTTACAGATACAATGTACTGGGTCCTGGAGCTTCGTCAGGCATCACATTTAAAATATGAAACAACATTATACTAAAGCCATTATACTATATCAATAATAAAGTCCATTGAATACAAATAAAAATAGAAAAATATATAATATATAATATTAAAATAAAATAACAATACAATAATATATATATGTATATATATATATATATATAATAAACTATTCTGATAAATGAAAAGTGAACCATTTCTACTATTATCAATTACAAATTAAATGTAATGACCATTGATGAATTTTACCTGATGTGACTGCTCTCTTGAGGACTTAAAACCTAAAATGTTGTGCAAAGCTATTGAAAGCACCTGATGTGACAACACAGCACACAATAAAACAACTACATATAAAGAAAAATGAATTGAGCGGAGGACTTTTTATTAATTAAATGTGAGAGGTGAATACTTTTTGGAAAATGTGCCATCATGTATGTTCAATTTAAAAGCTTTTTAATGAATCAAATTAATGATTTGAAATAAGAATTTTATACAAAATAGATGTATTCTGAAGTTGCATTACAGCACACAAATGTGCCAACGGGTCCATCGGGAGAACAGTTTTCATAGGAACAGTAAATTCTGAAGCTGTCGACAGTCAAGTACACAATGGTTGCAGAGGAAAAGTCTGACGCTGAGCCATCTGTGACAAAGATCTCAATGCTGCCTTAAAGTGAAAAAGCCATAAAGAGGAGACTCTCTGTTCCTCTGTAAATCCTGTGATTGTACTGTGGGCACATTCTGGTACTGTTTAAACACAACCAGAGACTGAATGTCTGTCTCTACTCCCGCAGTTAATTTTTTTCCTCTCAAATATCCAATAAGCTATTTTCATAACTTTCTTTATTACTTTGTTTCTTTCTTTCTCACTTCAGTCTCAGCCTCCATCTGTCTGCAGTATGTGATAAGGTGCATCCCGCTGTTAAGTGAACTCAATTGCGGAGATCCACCTTTTTACCGGTCTGTCAGAGCGCGAGCGTGTGTGTGTGTGTGTGTGTGTGTGTGCGTGCGTGCGTGCGTGCATTTGTACAAGCGAGTTTCCACCATTTAGTTTTCTGGTTTTCTCAGTACAATAGGCTAATTTGTTTGTTCATGTGAAAGTTTGTACAGCTCAGGTTTCACTGTTTATATTTACACAAGTCATGTGAGGAGGGAGAGATGTGACGGCAAGGAATGAGTTACACTTTGAACTCAAACAGACATGACGTGGCAGTTACAAGAGCAGAGAGGATAAAAGATGGTATTTCCATGTTATCATGTTCCCTTTGAAGAGTCGCTTTTAGCAGAAATGTGGTAGTAAACAACAATTTGGCTAGCTGTCCATCTTTTACAAATGATCGGGATTTATTTGGATGCCCACACCATCATGAGCTGGCTGCCTGTTGCGACAATGAGATCCACTTGTGCCCAATTATCCTCTGACTAGCTGCTGGTATATGAGTCAGATGCAAATGGCCAATTGGATCTTTCCTATCTGGGTTCATGGGAGTTTACTCAAACTCTACAGGGATGCAGGTTTAAAGTAATGAAGTGTGTTGCAATTGTGGCCAGTGTGCAGATTCATTGTTTAGAGTAGCTATTCTTTCTGTGCTCTAAACTGTAGAGTACAGATGATTAAGCATTGTTTTTCGTTATATATATATGAAAAGACCATCAATCACATACAATCAAGATGCTAACTTGTCAGTGTGATTATGTCTCTTGTACACTTTAGTCCTAAGGAAAAAAAAAATAGGTCATTTAATAAGATTAATAAGATGAATGATTCATCTCTGAACTGAATTGTATTGGTTTACTGATCTGTAGCCTTGTGTACGTTTATCATGTTTGTCTTGTTGTCTGTGTTGATTGTAATGTGTGTCGAGATAGATGCCTCGCCTTCTATTGCAAACCAAGTCTACCTACGGGTACAAATAAAAGTATCCTGAACCTGAACCTGAACCTGAGCTGAAAACGTCTTCTGTTATTGAAGCGGTCACAGGCCACCCTGATGAGCTATTTCATTTGAGGAGAGTATTTTTCTGATTGTATGACATTCAAAACTAAGCAAAATGCATAAGGGAGGCAAAGAGGAAAAAAATGATACAAACTGTGTGTGTGTTAATGTGAGTGTTTTTGTGTGTGTGTGTGTGTCTGTGTGTGTCACCTGTCAAGGTTGAGTTTGTGTGCCAGCATCCTCCAGTCATTGCCTCTGGTCTGTGGTGCATCTAGACTGCCACACAGCTTCTGTCTGATGGATAAAGGAATGCGGAAGGCATTGGGTCCCACTAAGGTTGTGATATTACTGGCTGGGTCCATCAAGGACGTGTCTATGCACTGGACGTCCTGGAAAGTGTGGGAAGACCGAAAGAAACTGGTCAATTGTTGGTTAAAGGAAAATAATTAGTAGTTACATCAACTTTTTTTAAAGTTGAACTCATAGAAATAACGTTTAGGCATACTGATGTGTACAGTATAACTTCTTCAGTAGAGACACAGGACAAAGCCTTAACATTTAAATATGGATCATGATGTGCATCTATGTGGTAACATTGGTCGTATTTGATTTCAAATAGGTCTCTATCTTAGTCCTTCTGGCAAAGGATTCTGCTCGTCTCTCTGCAGCTTTCGGCGTGACCGATTACAAATAAGTCTACTAATTAATACAAGAGTCAAACAAATATAATGATCTGCTTCCAATGCACTCTCTCTGTCTCTCTGCTCTCAATGTCACTCTCTGTCTCTTTCTAAACCTTCATCGCATTAATCTGCCACTCCTGGGCTGAAAGGAGGCAGCGGCCTAATGAATGTGGCTTGGCAGAAGGAAACAACAACTGCCAGTGTTGATGTGAATGTTTACTATTTACTGTGTCTACTTAGCCCCAATTTACAGCAGAAAGCTCTCTGCTGCTGAAGAGTGATTGATCCAAAGGGACATTTCTGTTTTTCTTCAAAAAATAACAAATGCTTTAAACCTGTTTTACTATTTATTGATCAACTTGCAGGATGCTGCCGGCTGGTTAATTGAGGGTCTTACAGTGTTTTAAATAACACATCAATGATGAGACGCTATTCGGATCTAATTATCATACTTGCCAAATATCCGATGTGATTATAGTATTGTAAGATTAGGTATGGCCTATTTAAAATGAATTACAGCTGATCACTTCACAAAATAGTTCAATATGTCATTGCCCAAATAGAGGCCCTATACTGTTTTCTGTGTACATGTTACAAGCCACAGCTCTGCCCCTCATAAGGCTGTTTCTTTTTCTAATATTTGGCAGAAGGCATAATGAAGGAAGTGTAGGAAAAAAATTGCAGGATAGACATTTCTACAATTTCTTTCTACAATTTCTTTCTTTCACTGTGTGATTTTGCAGTCCTGACACACACAGAGGCAAATCCTCAAACTTCTTTAACTGGTTCTACAATTTTCGTTCTCATTTTCAAGTACAAGATATGTGCAAACCTATGTGCTGCTGCAACTGTTCCTCTATTTGCAGTCAAAAATCAACTTACCTGGTTAAACAAGTGTTAACGAATTCTAAAGTGCAATGCTGTCACCCATGAACACCATGGGAGAATTCAAAGCACTGACATTCCAAGAGAACTGACTGACCTTCGACCAAAACTGTTCACACATGGACACAGATGCACACATTCAGTGACTTTGTGGTTACATGGACTCAAAATCAAAGACGAGTTATTCCACTCGTGTTATGTGACCTCTAGCCCCCAGTATGAATGATTGAACAGAGTCACATAGCAGGAGCCCTGACTGTCTGACGGATGGAAGAAAACTTACTGACTTTATAAGATCTTATATACGGGAATGGAGAAGTTAGAAGAAGGAGCCTCTTTTTTGCCCGTGTGACTGTGTTAATCTTTTAGTATGTACCGCTGTACCCTCATCATGTCCTAGGCCAGTGTGAGTTAAAGTTTCTCTTCTGCAGTTTTGTTGTGTACACAGCCAATAAACAGTGTCTCCATTTTGCTGTGTGCACGTGGATCTCTACAAACCTACCTCCTCTAATGTGTTGCTGAGCTGAAAGATCTGTCCCTCCCCTTCCACCTGCCGTACACACAGTTTGCAGCTGATCTGCGTGGTGGCGGGGCTCAGTCTCTCCAGGGTAAAGGTGCAGTGAAGAGTTCTCTGACTGCCACTCCACACCTGGTAGAATGGGATCTCCTGGAAAAAAGCATTAATAATATACATGTTTTTGTAAAGCAAATTTTCAGGCAGGAACCAGTCTTATAATCTTAGTAAATCTTATTGTTACTGGGAATTCATCAAAGTTAATCATTGTGAAGATATTTCACTCTGGACCAAAGCTTAATGCACAAAATGAAGACCAACACTGAGCTGCATCGCTAGTTTGGCAGAAATGTACATTCGCAAAAAGGCTAACTATAGTTTATCCTTGTTTGGCTAAAGGTAAGTGGTCCTATAAACTGCGATATTTGCTGTGGGTGTGAAGATCATTGACTACACTCTGTATATTGTAACGGGTACCTTCAAGTGTTCATGTATGCGCATATCCCTCTCACCTGATACTTGGCGATGAGTTTGCTCTTCCAGTGTGTGTGCGGCACATCGTGGATTGACAGTCTCAGATTGTGTGTGCTGTCTTTAAAGTTCAGGGTCTTTGGCTCATCCAGAAGCTTCCCTCCCATCTGTGTCTCCATCTGAAGAACCTCCTACACAAAACCCCACAAAGAAAAGAACCGTTTATTTTTCATACAGTATTATAGACTGCAAAAAGCCTTTCTTTATCTTGCATAATAACTGCAGACAACGCCGAATGTTTCCATGAAGTACACAGCACCATGAAACACTTGAATCTCATGAACGTTTCCCTGACGATACCATCACAGAGCTCTGTAGTTGTATTCCCTGGATTTCAGGAAAGCTTAGCTCTGCTAATTGCACTCAACTGGGAGAGACATTAAGATGCTCAATAAAAACCTTGATTAATAATGCACCGCCAGTCAAAGTACTGCTGTTGTGAGATGTGGGAAATCATATGTACAACAGTAAATAACTTCTATTGGTTTAGAAGATGATCTCAATACATTTTCCTTCTGAAAATAATACCCAAAGAAGTAATCATTGACTTATTGATTATCTAAGATAAGCAACCAATTTTTGTATTTTCCATCACCACAACAATCACAACTTCTTCTTCTGCACCAATATTACCTAACTCGGGATAGATTAAACAGCTGATGCACTGAGCTTAATGTGGATTTTTGTATCTTAGATTTCATGAAATGGGTAATAAAACCAGTTAATGTAAAACTGATACTTCCCATTTGATGTCTTTGTCCATTTTGAGAACCAAAGGAAGCAGCATAGTTTACTGTGCTGTGCTGCGGCTGTTTCAATAATATATTGCACACACAGTCCTGTGGGAGTTTTTGCTCATGCTTTTTAAATTGACTTCTGTATATCAAGTTAGGCCACACCAACAGAGTACTAAGACAGTATCTGTGCCCTACAGATGCATGATGGTAAATACACACATATTGATAACATCAAAATACTTACAGGCTCATGAACTGCACACAAACAATTAAAAGCATTAAAGAAACACAAACATTCCAACTTACTGATGGAAGAATAAGTTATCAGTATGACTTCTGATGCCTCCTGCAACCTTTGCAAAATAATCAATAGTTCCTCATTTTCCTACGCGGCAGCTCTACAGTAGATATACAGCGGAGACTTCCCCTTTAAAACGCAAACCGATCAATTATACTACACAGAGTCTCCATCATTAAAAAGTCCACCTCTGAGCTTTATTTTCAAGCTACAATTGCTTGTTTGAAATGGTAAAACTGAGTGTGCGCTGATGTTTGTGTGAGCATGTACATGGCTTTTTGACTTATCATTTCATGCATAAATTACCAATGTTAATCTCCCGTATCAGATGGTCCCTCCAGTGTTTTGAATTTGTTTGAATTCTCAAGCGCCGGTATTCTGACATTGCTTGACCCTGTTTACTTTGTTTACTGCTTCTCAGCTCACCTCCAGAGAACTAGAGGTGAGAAAACCTCACTTGTGACTCTAGATAATCACCCCTATTCAAGCTATAATATATTGTATTTCTAATGCAAATTACCACAGAAGTGTTGCAGCATGGGTGGTACAAGAGAGAGAAAAAAATCCCTCAGATGACGAAGGAACACAACTAAGCAATCAGCCTAATATATCCATATATATCCATCATATGTACAGTATATGTGTGTGTTCATATGGGTTAATTCAAGGGAGGACATCTATTAAAAAGCAACTGAAGAAAATAAGTATTGGATTTGATTAATTTAGTTTCAGTACTTTACCTTGAGTGCATCCTGTGTGTCGTCCAGACAATAGACCCTGATATGATAGTCCAAAGTTGTGCAGGATACGGGTCCAAAAACAGCAAGTTTGAGCCTCTTGGCGGCTGCCTTGCAGATTGACTGGCCTACCAGGCAGTAAGTCCCCAGTGTCTCTGTTAGGATGTGACATGCCTCCAAGTCCATCTGCACATAGCAGGGGGTGGTGAAGTTTTCCTCTCCTACCACAACCACATCCTGTAAGAATCACACACACACACACACAGACACACACACACAGACACACACACAACGTCACACAATTTTAGACTTCCAGAGTGTCACGCTGGGTCTATGATGGGTGGCTGAGACTGGAATAGTGTAAACTTACCATGTGAGCCGTCACTCATCTCAACTGAAGAGGTATCTAGAGCTTTATTCAAGACGGACTAACTTTCAACCTTTCAAAAACAAGTCTGAGTATTTTCTAGTATTCATGATTATATATTTGTGAGTATAGCCTGCCTGATCTCTTTCCTTTTGCTATCAAAGCAAACTTTACATTTCCTTGATTTATTTCACATTAAATAAGGTGCTTAATCCATACCTGTGTGACAACAGCATTTCTGTTCAAACACACGGTCATCAGCATAATGATGAGTATAACAAAACTAAGTTCTTGTGCTCATAGAGAAACTGTGGAAATGTTGACTATCCTCGATGTACAAATAAATGTTCCCTTTTTTTTGGAAACAGCCTACATTTGTGTGTGCAGACTGCTGTTAGTGAGTCCTGGGCATTATTTGAATACTGACTGTATTTGTGGGATTAAGCCACATTCTGTCTGGTAACATAACACAACTGGACCTGCATTTGGAGCCATTTCCACTAATGCAAACACACCCTGAATAAACAGGCTGTGGTTTCTAACTGGTGAATTCCTCTGTTGTTATAAACGCAATGCCATTACTGATGGTGTGTAGAGATGTGCTCCCTGTATAGAAATCATCGTTCAGCAGAAGAAAGGCCAAATGCAAATGTTAGAATCATTTTTTGGCTTGTGGATCTTTTCAATAAGACATGAACCATATGCGACTCTTCTTGTTAGTCCAGTAATTCATCTTAGAAAATCAGTTCCTAGATTTTTAATTCCCCACATTGTGAATTCCTTTGTTCTTGTTGAGACACTAAGTTGAAATGTGAATGCATGTCTGGTACTTCATAATATGACTTCTCAAAGTATATCAAGGTGACCAGTAAAATAAAACCCCTTGTTTAGAGCTGCTGTGTGAAGTATGTCCAACCCCACCGTGATTATCTGCTGGCTGTTGCTCATATCATTTTTCCAGCTCTGTCACAGCCGGAGTTATCGTAAATCTATACGGCTCCTTTGGGTTCAGTGAGAATGCACAGCTCCTTTTCATTTAAGTGCAGAATCTTCAATTAGTCGTGCACATATCCAAGTTTGCGTGTGTGACTAATTGTGTGTACACGTCTGTGGATGCAAATTTGGTGCAGCATGGATCTGTACTACACGCACATGTGTGATACAAATATTGAGTTTTGTCCCAACAGATGAGCGAGCCAAATCAATACAAAGAGGTAGGAAAGCAATATGGTATGAATCTGTTATTACTGGTAATCACAACCGTAGCTGCTCCCCCCTGATGTGAGGGGAATTCAATTACCTTCCTCTCCCTTTTTTGGAGAAATATTTCTGATGGGAAATGGATGTTCTACTGCAATAAGAGAAAAACAAATCGACTTCCTGATGAAATTCCACTTTTCATTTCTCCCGTCTTTACCCACTCTGCACCCAACCCCTTGTCTCTCCCTCTCTCTCTCACTCTCTCTCCCTTCCTCCCTCTCTCTCTCACATACACACACAAAAGAACACACACACACAGAATCTTATGCATGGTTAATTGTGCAGAGACATTGTGTTGAGCTGTGATAAGCAACAGAAGACAGCATACGGGGGCCTTGTAGACACAGTGATGCTGCAAGACAGCCTTATCACCCACACCCACACACAAGGATACACACCCGTACACACGCACGGACACGGAGACAGACAAACATGCATCGAATGCAGTCACGCACACACACAGGGAGATTGCTGAGGTAGGGACTTCATGCTGAGAGACACGGGAGGAGGGAGAGGGAGAAGGGTAGAAAAAAAGGAGGGATAGAAACATAAGAAGAAAGATGACAGAAAAGGAGGATGGCAGGAGCATAACAAATTGCTTCTGATAGGAGTCTTCAACCCCCTGCTTGTCGACTAGCCTGTAGGCACTTTGTGTTTACTGAGTTTTCTCTCCTTTCATTTCTTTTCCTCTCTCTCCCTTACGGCATGTGTGTATGTGTATTGTAGGCTATCGAAAAGACGATAATGTATATGTGCTTGCATGTGTTAACATGCTGCGTGTAGCCATGCTGTGTACATGGCTGTGTATGAATGATCTGGCTGTGCAGGTGTTTATTTTGCATAAATGCATTAAATACATTGATACTAAGCCGCTGTGTGTGTAGATGTGTGCGCATCTGAATTCTTTGGTAACAAAGTGACAGCTATTCTCTCTGGAGGTTAAAACTGTGGGATTCAAAAGTTGCACATTATACGTAGCTCACTCGAAAAAAGACACAAGTGTTGAACACTCACCTCCCACTCTCCCATGGCCAGTTGGTTCTTCAGCTGTATGAGCCAGTCTTCCTCGACATTATCAGCACAGTGGTGGATGGTGAGGATCACTGGTCTGGTCAGCAGGGCTCCTGGAGGTCCACAACTCACCACTGGGCTCAGCACTGTCTGGATGTCCTCTACCGGTGGTCTGGAGAAGACAAATCACATCCAGGTGGGATGATTCTTTAGAAAAGAGCGACAGGAGGGCCGCACTGTAGGCGACCAGTTAAAGTGAGCATCACCCGTATGAAGCTGTACTGATTTGTACTGTACTGTGGTTTGTTTTTCACAATGTTCATACACGGAACAACTCAGCTAGCAAAATAGAGAAGTCAGGTGAACAGTTAGGTTACAGTAAGATAGACTGTCTTTGAGTTGATGAGAATATCATTGAATAAAACAGAAGAGCAGCGAACATTCAATCAGAGGATGATAGGTGTCGTCAGCAGGGCTTCAGTTGGGCCTCAGCTGGAGTCAGTATTTCACAGCTCATGGGCATTAAACAAATGAATACTTACCACAAGCTCTTCTGTTGCTGTTTTTTTTACAGTGAATTCAAGTATTGTAAAGTATATTACAGTACAGCAACAGAGTACTGTTCATTAGTAAATTGAAAAGTAAACCCATGTTCTTCAACAATTGTTTGCAATTGTGTTTTCCTGTGTAATCCATTATCGAGTCATTTTCCTCCCTCATGTTGCTGAAGATATTTATTGACTGGGAATAAAGCCCATACGGAAAGAAGTGATTTTTTTCTCGAGCCCACTTTGTGTGTGTGTGTGGGGGGGGGGGGTAACTAATCCCTAGCAGTATTATCGATTCAGCGGATGAAGCTCATTATTGACTCATGATGGGTTCGCATGGATGAGAGAAGTACAACTTCTCTAAAAACAGTACAACTCAAACTGTAACAGCACCCTTTGACGAACCAAAATGCAGGGGCCACCACCTAATGAAATACAGTGCAACTGATTTGTAAGGTTATGCATCATTTATCATACAGAGAACACAGATGTTGTAATGTTGTATTGTCTGTACGAGAAAACTGACACCTAAAGGTTGGATCCTGATGAGCTAAACCACAGGATTATGGCTTGCCAATTGTTGGTGAGGCAAGTCAATGTAGCTATGTGATTTTCTGCTAGCCAGCTATTGCCTGTGAGGAAGACAGAGGACAGAGAGGAGGTTTGATTCTTAGAAATACTGTAGCTCACTGCAGGGGGCCTAATTCTTATTGACGTTATTGATCGGGGAGATGCTGGAATGGATGCATGGGATAGAATACATGAACCAAACTGTAACAAGTGTCCTAAAGCTAGGGTCTGGAAAGAGTTGATTCACCAAAATTATTAAAGAGCCCATTTCTCCTCTTACCCCTTGTGGTATTGAGCCAAGCTGATGGCTGGCTACTGGTTTTATTTTCTCCATTTTTGAGATTGCTATTTCTGAATATTTGGCCGCCACCCACAATGCTATGAAGGTGAATTGCATTCAGCTTGTAGTGCTAACAGCATTACATAACTATATTGGAATTAAGGAAAAGCGAAGTCCTTGTTACTTTGGATAATGCACGAACCTTGCAGCAAACAGTTATAAATGGAACTATTCAGCAGTGTAAACAGGACACTACTTTATTCATTATTATTCTCAAAAGGGACGAACACAAAACACCCAGCGCCATTGTATTGGGGTGGATGGAGAAATCTCAGTCACAGATATCTGAAAACCAAATGTAAAAAAAAAAAACATCTGCATGGGCTTAATACTATATAAGAAAATGTTTTTTTTTGCACAAACACAGCTTAACCATTTACCTCGACAGTGAGTGGTAAAGACACACATACAAAACAAATCATCAGTATCCATACTGACTCTGTCCAAGGGAATCATCTCCTTTTCTCTGAAATGTTAACAGTATTAAAAATATAAATATGCAAGTTCTTTTGAGTTTTGCCTTACTGCAGGCATGTTATTGGGCCAGGTCACTTTCAAATAGACTACTGATAACTTTCCCAACAGCTGGAATATAGACAATGTCTCTGTCGTGTCCCACAGAGAGCTTTACCTCAGTCATGCACTTGGCCTGTGAGTAAAGGATTGTCTAACATGTAACAGGATTAGAGTAATCCCAAGAATAACCACTAATCTGTTAGTTACTGTGAACAGCAATGTCTTTGCATATGCTGTAAACACTTTGGTGTTTGGAGTAAGAAAAAATAAATCTGTTGTCGCACTGCAGTCAACATTAGTTTCACACATGTTTGAATAATGGGGGTTATGAGCTCTACATTTTGGGTAGTAGCAATGATTGTAAAATTAAGAAAACATTGTTATAAATTCTGTGGATTACTGTACAGATTATAATGCTAAGTAGGTTATAATTAATTCATGTGGAAAAAAACTCCCTTATAATCTTCTCAACTTTAATTATAGCACTAATATAGGAAATCTGTGGTATTAACTGACCCCTGCTGAATGAGTCACCAAAAGAATGTGTGCATCGATGCACTATACACTATAAATACTAATGATTCATCCACTGCTGTGTATCCTAAGCCAATGTCACACTGTGAAAGCCTCCCCACGCAACCAAACAAACAGGTCTGAGAAGCCGGCGCCCAGGAGAGAGATGGAGAAGTGTAGGAAAAAGAAAAACAAAGAAACAAAAAGATCATAGAGGGAGACGCAGAGATGAGGAGAAACATGGCGGCAACAGGGAACCACAGAGAAGCATAAAAGCCACAGAGAGGAAAAGTGAGGGAAAGAGAGAGACGAAACTTACCTCAAGCTCTCCTTCCTGTGCACAGTCACATACATCTCGTACACCCTACCCTGAGGAACGGCACCCGCTGGAACCAACAAACTCACACCTGCAGGAGGGAGGACGGGGGAAGCAGGATGGATGGAGGCAAAAAGTAATGAGTTTCATCACTGGATTTATTAATTTTACTATGCACAGCTAAATTATTGAATGTGCAACCCATTATCACTTCATCATTTTGATTCATTATTGAAAAATCATTCTTAAAGGCAACACCATGTAAAACTTTCTCTTGAATATATCATCAAGTGAATTGTGCTACGATGTTTTATAGCTTCTGAAAGCTGCTTCCTATCTCCGGGTTCCATTATTCATTCATGCTTTTAAATCCTAATATAAATCTACTTAAAGTTTTTTTTCTTTTACAACTAGGTGGAAAACATCCCAAGGCTGTTTTTTTTGTATTAGCTAAAAAACCAACTTCATGTGGTCATCTTTGAGTACAAGAAATGTACATTTAATCTTGTTCAAATCTTGAATACTTTTTTTTAATTGAGATTAACTTTGATGACATTGTTACTATCTATATAAATTGATGTAGTGCATTGTCATTTGTTCATGTAATCAACAAAATAATTAAATTTGCGTCCTTATATATATATATATATTTCCATTGACTTTGTATCACCACCTCTAAAATTCGCCTTGAGTCTTGCACTGAACACATAGAAAGACATCACTGCTGGTCACTGCATCACCATTAGACAGTAACCAGATTATTGATAAACTGTTAAGTGTGAGTAGAAAGTTCACCAGAGTTGGGTACAATGAGGTGTCCTCCCTGGTTGTTGAAGGATCCGTGAGCGGTACAGGAAGGGTCTCGTGTTCGGGCCAAGCTCTGGTTGCGAAGGTTCATGGTGTCGCTGCTCTCCAACAGAGACTGAGTTACCTAGGAATCAAAAGACAACAGTCAGAATCACATAACATAACAGATAGTATTGGGTATAAAGCTGTTCAGCAGAGACTGGATGAACTGAAAGTCTGGGTATTTAATGGTAAATAAAACATACCGATGATTTAATATCTGGTTCCGCTGGGCAATACAGTTATCAAACAGCAAAGAGACTTCACCGTGGAAATCAAACTTTTTTTAATAACATAAATGCTATTTCACCTCTATGACGTGAAAATAATCGACATGGTGTATGTGAAAAATTCCTTGGAATAATCTCTTAGTAATGGGGTTATTGAGAATGTAGTCAATGTCGTGGCAATATTTTAGACCTATAATGCGAGCAGGGATTTTTCATAGTTATACAATGTATATTACAGCGTAGTTGCATAAAAGCAAACTGCACCAATGCTCTGTGGAGGCTGAAAGACGATGAAAAAAAGAAGATGTATTCTAATGAAACCAAAGGTTCATGGAGGTCCAGAGAAGTTTCACTGTGCGAGGCCGAACTCTGGTCGTATAGGTCGTTGTAGTTATATTTTTGCCTGGCTGATTAGCCCAAAGCATTGAAAGAGCAACCTGTTAATGCTCTCTTTTCCACAAGAAGTTTACTGCATTCATCAAGACGGTTACATTTTTTTTCTCATGTCTTCTTGGTTACCAGTAAGTAAAATACCACAGGGACGATCTGCATCTGACTGGAAGCGCTGCCATCGGGCTGAGCTGACAGGCTATGAGAAAAGGGTGGATTTACAGTCGACCTATGAAACCACCTCAGGGTAAGTGGTAAAATATGACTGACTTTGCATTTCTCTTTCGAAATGTCCACTGTGAGATGTAAAATAAGGACTTAAAATTCAGTAGTTTGCTCCACAACATCACACAAAGCTGACAAGAACTTGCTTCAATGTGTTTAAGACAAACACCAGACAAAAGCATAGAAAATCCTGGACATTAGCGAGGCAAGGTCAGTCAGGAGGTCCAAAAAGTCCACGATTAAAAAACACCCATATGAACAGAGAAAATCATCAAATGTAGAGCTCATAGTGGATTCAGCTCTAGTACTGCCTCAAGACAGGTGCAGTGATGAAACCGAGCGGTTTCATCTGTATTTGTGACAACTGACTCTGGTATGCATGCCATGTAGTTGACAGAGCAGAGGGCGGAAACTGGGGCACTGAGCTGCATGTATACTAATGGTGTTTGGTTTTGTATTTATGTGACTGGGAATACACACTAGCTGCCTTGTTTCAGTACTTCTCGCTATGCTTCTGCAGTGTAACCTCACTTCAGGAGGAAATATTTCAAAATTCTATACTGCACTCATACAGAATATTTTACAGTCAAAATCCTAGAAGCGGATGAAAGATACTGATGTTGGATCATGGAATACATGCATCATATTACCTTAGGAGACAGTTTGGATGTGAAGTCTCCTCCAAGGTCATCCTGCGGTGTGACCAGACCAGATGAGTTGTACACTTTGATCTTCAAGTTGGGTAGAGGGTCCAGGAGAGGGGAGTTGGTCATTGGGATTTTATCTGAAACATCGTGGAGGGCATACACTGGACCACGGTACATGGCAGCTGCATTTGTCAAGTCAGGAGGAGCTGTCAGTAGATCAGCTGGAGGGATAAAGCGGAAGAGGGAGAGAGAGAGAGAGAGAAGGAGCAGATAGAGGGAAGAAAATATTAATGACAGAAAATACAAGATGAATGGCAACTGTCAAGTTTTCACAAATGCTTGATTCTTCAGCTAAGAGAAAGAGTGAACAGCGTTTGAGAGCAAGGTCCTCAAAGATTTCATCTTCACCTCAAAAAATAAATACACGAGTTTAAAATATAATATTTAAATGCATACACTATCAAAACAAACTAAACAAGTTGAAAATTGACCAGACTGTCTGGAGACATAATAACAGAACATTATTGCTTTATGTCATCAGTTAAGCTCTAAAAAATGTTGTCAATGACTTTGACTTCACCGACACAATCAAAGACGTTGTCACGCTTTAATCACATCACTGTCTATTTTTTAAATACTCATGTCACTATTCAAATCTGACTGAAAAAAATCCCTGCTGTGCACATTTACCACAGAGTGTGCCAGTGTTAATTGACAATGCCAATTGTTAAGACCTATTTGGGCTTAACACTCATCCTGTTCTTAAAAGCAGTGTTTTTACCCTAATTTTCCATATATCATGGTGTATATTATAATGTATGTATGCAGTTTATTTAGAAAAGAACAAGCGAGACAATATACAATGTGAAATATTCAAGCAACCTTAAAATTAGTAGGCAAACCAATCTTAACCTGGTAACTCTTTGCTTGGACTATTAAAAGCTTAAAGATGTTTTAACTTTTGCCGAACGGCAGCCGCTCCACTTAAGCCACAAGTTACAGGACAATTGCATGTTGAATTTGTTTCACTTTCCTAAGATTTCCTTGAGTCAGTTTGTCATCATGCTATGACATGCAATGAAGAGTAACAGGAGCACAACTATTCAAAAGCCATCATTTCAGCAAATGTACACAGTAAGATCAGTTGCACAGCATCTATCTCAAGTTTGCTAACATATACACTTACTGTATGTCATATACCATGAGTGAGGCAGTAGCAGAAAATCCCCATTTCCATGTGTAAGCGGACTATTATGTCATTTTGTATTTATTGAGTGACATAGTCTTGTTTTAAACAAAGAATAGATTGGCCCCTGTCATGTAATAAACCATTTTGAAGCTGTGAATTGATTCACAGGCGACTGAGTGAACTGCTGTGTGTACCCTAATGTACACTGCTCTTTCTGGAGTTGGTTCAAGCGAATGGTGGAAACTTTTGATGTACCTCAAGCACACACTGGAGCATCCAACGCCCACACACGCACACACACACACACACACACACACACACACACATAAGAGCACTGTCATAAATAAAACACATCTGCAATGTTAATCATGGGCACTAGAAAAACATGTGCGTATCTCGCATACCAATAACGCATCATACACTATACTGTGCATGCCCATACATGCATACACCAAAAACACACATAACACATACAGCATATGGGAATTACATGATGTCAGTGATCTCTCAGCTAATCAGGACAGTATGCTCATCTATGTGCATGTAATATTCAAAGTACTGTTTACAGTATGTTGATTTCATTTTTAAAATGCAAGTACCTCATTCTACCTTCAGCAATCTCTCCATTCTTTTGACTCCCATCCTTGCTGACTTAAATTCAGTCGATGGTTTGATGGAAATCCTCAATAACACACACTTTTCTTTTTAAATCAAGTCAAGTAGCAAAAAACATCCTTTGCAGTGAAATTATTCGGAACGCTTTAACAACAATGACTTGACTTTGTTTCCGTCTGCCACAATGTTCTTCCAGGTAATTGGAAAGATGCAGCAGCCAAGTGCTACTGATTGTTTTAATAATGCATTTGGCAATATTAACAAACAGTAAAACCTACATGAGGATATTTACTTTGCCAAAGAAAACCAAGCCAATGTGCTCCAAGCGACCCCATTAGACGACAAGTTCAGTCACTCTTGTAGCTAGTTTTGTAAAGCTATCTTGCCACAACCCTTTGTAGTTTATAACAATTTAATCAAAGGGCATTAAAACACCAAAGTGTATTCTACATAAACAACTCTCTACCATCGGAAAATCCATCAAATATCCAAGATTTAATTGGAATTGGGATCACAGGACGGTCAGTTTCCTACTGAGAACAATTCAAGATTTGTTCTCACCAGGCTCTATATATTCGGGGGCGTAGAGTCTGAAATCCTGTCGTTCCCTCCAAGAGCCCATCCATTCTAATTTTAAAATCCCTGATTATCACCCCCCCCCACCACCATCAACACACCCACCCACAAACACACATCTGTCACATATCACTCTCTTCCTCTCTCTGTTTACCCTTAGAGCCAGCGGGTATTCCTGCCAAATCATCATCCCTGCTGAAATTTAATTAACAACTAACGGAAAGCCACAGAGAGGGAGGGAGGGGGGGCTGAGGGAGAGAGAGAGAGAGGGAGTGAGGGGGAGCGAGATATTCAGGGACATAATTCTTCATTAATAGTAATCGTAGATGGTCCCCCGACGCAGAGTGACAAGCATCTTAATATTTTGCTGATAAAATGTCACCCAATCTCCGCTCATGCGAAGGCATTTGCCCTTGTACAGACACACACACACACACACACACACACACACACACACACACACACACGGACATACACATGCATGTGCACATACACAAACAATTATTTTAGCTCGCTGTTTACAAATTTGCATTGCATTCTTTGTGACCTCACTTTCCTGTTTTTACTGTATAGCAGGATTGGACTGTTAATCGTCCACCCTTAAACTGACCCCATACTATATCACACACATTACAGCAAACTACAGGATTTAAGTATCCTCTTAAAGGTGTTTAGAGGTGCACAGAGCTTTCGTTTGTAGATCACTCAGCGTGACTTCCACAAAATTTGTGTTGTTGACCTAACCCTTTTCTAAAATGCCATTTCCTGTTGACCGAATGGAGACTATCAAGTACTACTAGGTCTAAGTACCAGTATGAGGACTTGAAGCCATCTAATTTGGAATAATGAATGCAAATGTATGGGCATGCCTGTTTGTGTATGTGCCTAATGCCTACATGGATGCTTTTCTAAACATTTTTATGAGGTATATTGATTTTTTTATGGATGTTTTTTTTAATCTATTTTGACAAATACACATTCTTCAGAGGAAAAGTCATACATTCATACTGTTCATAGCACTGATACCTTATTCATTCTCATTCCCTGTCCAATCTTGCCATTTCCAGTAAGCTATCAAATGCATCCACAGGTGTACAAGTGTTTCTTGTTGTCTTATCCATTTCCCAAAGACAGAGAAGAAAACATGACAACACACAGACAGACAGAGACGAGTGAAAGATGGCTCCACTTTAACAGGAAGACAAACAGGGAGGGGATGTCTGTTGCGGTAGGCGTCACCGCGGCAGGAGAGAGACAGAAACACGGGCGAGGGAAAGACAGAGACACCAAGACGGAGACGAAGAGTGGAGGATGCTGATAAACAGGAAATGTGATTGACCTGAATGTGCAGATGGGAAGGGAGAGTAAGAAAAAATGAGGCAGAGAAGGAGAATGACAGAGAGAGACTCCTTGATGGAAGAGAGTGGTTTCGGTTAGAGACAGAGATTAATCCAAAGCAGCAAAGATTGACAGCCGGAGACCGAGGAAAGAAACAAAATGACGCTAGCGTGAAAGCCTAGAAAAGAGGACTGAGTCGGTACAGTTATTTCCCGAGGGTCACATCTGATATTCTTTATCCACCTATCAATCTATAGATCCGTCCATCTGCCTGTTTACCCATCTATCTGTGCACATTATGTAATTAAAAACCTGCAGACCTCCCGTCGAGAGACTATCATCTCTGTTGGGTGTGATTACAGGTACAACAAGTTTGAAACGTTCAACCAGAGAGGGCAGTGAAACACAGCTTTTCAGCCGTATGTTAACTTACTCTATTAGTATTAGTGCCTCTCTTTGAGCTGGATAAGTTAGTATTTGTTCCACGCTGGTTTCTGTAACGTTCCTTACCTGATCTGGCTGTTTTGATATTAACAGACTGGAAGCCTCCGTTTAGTGCCGAGGTGTCGATGATGTCCGAGTCAAAGTCACGGTGCGTCTTGCGGTAGACAAAGAGCGCCACGATGACAGAGATGACCAGGCACATGATCACTGCGATGACAATGCCCACGTAGAGTGCCACGTCATCTGTGCTTGGAGCTGCTGGAGGGGGACACACAGAGGAAGAGAGACACAATTGTAGGTGGATATTGTCAAGCATGCAGCAAAATATCTGCTGCATGCTTGTATTATCAGTAAAAACAATAAACAGCGACAACAATTATAGCTCCCGTGGAACAGCAGGGCAGTGGCAGAGGATACTATTCATAAGACAAAATGAAATGTATTAAAGGCTTCAAATTAACTTGATATAGCTTTCTTTCATGATTCATTTTCTTCTGTATTCGTGTTCTGGTACCTCAGACCACCTATCAGACTCAAAAGGACAACCTCTACAGGAAACTTTCAAAAAGCCCCCCCCCCCCAGCTTGTGTAATACGATCATTTGTCTAGACAGAGAGAGACAGAGACCTCTTTCATTAAAAAAAAGAAAGAATGGTAGCAACTCTTAAAACTTAATAAGGCTGTTAATTATTTTACAAGGGTCCTAACATCCTTTTTCAATCTGGCTGAGACTTTAATGGTGTTTCAGCGAGACCAGTGGTAGAATTGTCATTCATCATCCATATTTTAAAGCAGACTAAGGAAATTTTAAGTGTTGCGTAATGCAAATGGTAAAAGGCATGAGCCAAGCTCGAGGAGAAGAAATTAGTAAAGGATCAGAGAGACAAGTGTAGAGCACAGGGGAGGAATGATGAGGAAGTAATAAGAAGGAAAGCCAAGTCGAGAGGAATAAATAAAAGAGGACACACACGCAGATGAGGAGTATATAGAAAGGAGAGTTCAATAAAGAGAATAAAAGAAGCGTGTAAAAAGAGAATAAGGAAGCAGGGAAGATGAGAGGAAACAAGTAGGGCACAACAAATGAGGAGAGGAGAGGAGCAGAGAGGAGAGAAGAGGGCAGAGGAGAGAGGTGATAACAGCAAAAAAAGAGGAAAACCTGGCAAAAGAAGTGGAAATCCACTTGAACTTCAAAGTAGCAAAACAAACAATCCTACATATTCAACATGAAAGTGCCTGTGAATGTGCCTTTAATAAGAGTAGTCTCACACTTAAAGCACTCCTCGTATAATCACGTCCTCTGTAGCTAGTAGGAGGGGATTTGTCTGCAGCTATTAAGAAGAAGACAGAAAAGTATAGGAATGCTCCTTGTAATCTGCCCTTAAAGTTGAGAGGCAGATAACAGGCGTTTAGCTACAAACAGCCTGAGTCATTTGCTGAAGGATTTGCTGTTGTCACTTCAGAACAAGTTCAGAAAGCAGGAGCTTGATTATGCATGAAAGAATCCTTTGATGAGGCACACAAACATTCACGCTCACATATGCCTAAGCATGATACACACATTCGCAGAAGAGAGGTCACTACTGATGGTGTCAGTTACTCATTTACCACTTGGGGGAGCTATGAACCACTTTAGTATCTCTGGGGAGCTGAAGGTATGAGAGCAGAACATTATCCCACTTAATTAAGCCTGTCACTCAATGTTTAGAAATAGCACAGTGTTAAAAAAAAACAAAAAACACTACTCTAACCAATGTCTAACAATGCAAATATATGCACAATAAACTAAAAGTTTCAAGAATGAGCTTAATATTGTGCTCATGTGTATTGTATTGGTGCATGGTGCAAAGATCTTGTGATCAAGGAGAGCTGTGACGGTAATTGGGTCGAACAACCAGAGTCACAAACATTTTAAAACTTGATATTTAGGTGATGTTTTTCTTATTTAAACAACACCCTATCCTCACACTAAAGCCGAAAGGAATAGTCGATTAATCAATTCAATCAAAAATAATCCCTTTAAACTGATATTTGCAAATCAACACAGAATCTGTGGGTAACGGGAGATTTTTGTATCAGAACGGTTATGTTTTTTTTGCTTGTACTCAGTTTGTAACCCATTAGTTATTCATTTGTTATTCATTTGTGGTGGGAGTAGTATTGACCAATTACGTTTGAGTGAGCCTCGGTTGCAGGTAAACTCTCTATGTGGAGAACAAGTGTGAAAAGCGCTTCATCAATAAATCTTACTTACTTACTTACAAAAGAGGTAGAACACATTTGCCTAAATGCAATCTTGAGTATAATAATTGTTAATGCTGTAACCTTCATCAGAGTTATCTTACCTGCCTGATGTTGATCTCTAGTTTCACTTTGAATGGATAGAAATGTAATGCACAGCATGAGGCAGATTGTAATGGAGGAAAGTAAACATTCATAAAAGTCATGTTTACAACCCCTGATCTGTGTTTAAGAGTATGCACTCTTTTCACAAAGATTTACGACACTATGAGGGTTTGTTAACTGGATGCCAAACATTTGTTCATCACATGTAACTCAAACTTAGAGCACCTCCTTCCTTCTGATGTTAAAAAGACTGATGTAAAAATGCCCCAACGACACTGCTGCTCAGAGTTGTCCTGAAATCAAGGTCCTTGCACTTGCCAAGGGGGAATAGAAGTAGATAATCCTCTTAAGTATCAACTCCCTGATCTTAATTATGATCACTATCATACTCATCTATTTAGGGAATCTTTATCGTATTTCTACTTTAAACTGTATAACTTCAGAACATGTGGAGTGCCAGACAGCCATAAAAAGAACATCACTTCATATTGTTTTATTATCGTATAGAGTGTTGTGGGACACTTTGGGATAGGTTAACTAGGCTATGGCCTGCTGTGTTCTCAAATCATGTGCATATGTGTAGTAAGTGTGTCGTGTTTTATACCAGTGGGTTTAAAAATAAATTGACAAATGGCGCTTAGCAGCAACATTACAATACATGTCCATGTTTCAGTTATTGAATGCTACTGAGAATCTCACTCGGCACTATCACTAATAAGTGATAGGCTTCAAGGAAATGGATAGAATAACATAATATATTAAGGATCTTCTGAGTTCTGTGAATTCACAGAATCCACGACAGACCATGCAAAATTCAGATCAATTATTAATATCTTTGTAAAATAGACCATTAAATGTTCTGTGCTGCAGTATACAGTACAATTGCATTTGAGCTTATTCTTAAATATGCATTTATTCTCTCTCTGAAAGCTCAATGACAGTTTTTGAATTGATAAAAGAAAGTATAGAAAATTGGCACTAATGTAAAGTAGCTTCTCTTCAGCACACAAGTCATCTCTGTGCTGTATTTGTCGACTTCATTGGTCTTTCATTTCATTGAGTCACTACATAAAAATATAACAAAAGGGCTGCTCCGGTTGAAAACTGTCAACCCTTTAATTCTTGTTATTTTATTGTCTGACAGACTTGCATACTCTTCCTGTGACAGGATAGGGGCTGAAAAAGAGACTGAACGTGGGTGTGCACTTTTGACCAAACCCAGATGGATGACTAACGTGTTTGGACCTCTGTGTGTGTCTGAGAGTGGCCCAAGGCGCTGCTTTGTGAAGCCGGAATGACAATATCTGCAGTGATAGAATGAGGAAACAGCACATGTCTGAATAAGTACACAATAAGAGGTACGCACCTAGGTTCATTTTCATGGGCACTGACTCTCCCAATGAATGCTGGGCAGACATGCACACATCCATTCGAACTATTATCCATACGTCAACTATCTCCGGTGCTTTTCCTTCCTTGTACCTGACGAGCAGTTTCACGTCCGAAGCACTCATCTGCAAGTCCTTCTAAATACGATTTAGATTAAAAAGAGTAAAGGAATCGAAAAAGCGATACGTCTGACATCCGACAGCGTTATATAGGAAGGATAATGTGCTGTGCGACAAGTCAGGACACACAAACACACAATAGCATATACTGTACACAGAGGTGTAGAGAAACGCAGGTACAAATCTGGGTACCAATATTAGTCCCTGAGGATAAAAACTATTTAAAAAACCTTGGGGATTGTTTTGACAGACTAAGATTATAATCTAAATATAAAATCTAAATATACATTCATCTTGATCCTTGATGGTTAAAGAACTCTTGGCATTATGGAATTTGATGGTGAAACGTGTTCAAGCAAGGTAGAAAATGAAAACAAAAACTTTCTCTTTTTCATGGCAAGACTTAATTGCAATTTGTCATCATTTTGCACGACACTGTGACCTAACGTGAGCACGACTGAACAGTGTGTTTATGTTGTGCCTGTGTGTGTGTGTGATCAAATCCAAATGGTCTTCAGTTTCAGAACCAAAATGATTTAGTCAGTGTTCATTGTGCACATGCCAAATTGTTTGTTTGGAGTGTACAGTCATGGTGAGTGAGTGAGCTAGTTTGCATGTGTGAGTGGACTGACTGATGCGGTCCCTCACTGTGCCCAATAATAATGGGCTTTGTAATTAGCACAAAAAAATTGGTCACATACAGTTTGGTAACTGCATGTGTGTGCCAAACTATGTGACTAATAAAGCTTTAGGGTTCCAGAAACTGCGGGAAATGTACACACAGACTCTAACACGCAGTTGATTACCACACACGGGCCAGCGGAACGGAAGCCACGGCTCACCCTCAGTCAGCATAGATCGCCGTCTATTGATCGGCTGGGCTTTTTGTCATTGACGGAGTCTGTCCAATCTGCCACAGAAAGGATTTAAAGAAGGGGGAAACAAGGATAACTCAGCTTAGCTTGCCTCTATCTTCTCTGTGATCTGCATCCAAAGCAGAGCTGTGGACAATCGCTACTTGAAACTCATTCAAATGCCTTTTTGATCTTGCTTGGCACAAACATGCAAACACCGCCCGTACACTGCACTCCTGGCAGTTGCACACACATCCGCTCTAGGTAACTGGCAGGGATGAGCGGTCAGAGAGAGAACGCGAGCAGTCATTTGTAAATGTGTCTATCCTTATCTTCTGTGGTGGGGATGGAAAAAAAACTTGGTGCCAAGAAATAAATTATGGAGTCACTTTAGAGTCACTAAAGCCAGAGGGTGTATTTCCATGACAACAAACAACTCTGTTCAGGTATATAAAGTAATTACCATCACCGTGAAACAACCCTGTAATACAGTGCAATTGCAGCTATTTAGTGAATGGACTGGATACAAGCCTTTCAGTGCTACTTGTTTTATCCAGCTGAAAATAACATTATGATCTCTTTCAATGTCTGCTGGCCACAAACGTGAATCACAAATCTACAGCTCAGCCACCTCCTAACCTTCTCTTTGCCTCAAGCTAAGCTGCTCTGTGACTGACACAAACACCCGAAAGACAACAAAGTAGGGCGTAAATGCAAAATAAAAGAATACTTATAATTATAATGCAGTTTTGTCATATGCCTTATTTGGCTTGAGGGTAAAGACTTTTAGCCTTCATACATGAGCTATCCTGTGACAACAGTTGGCCCTGTTCTCACTTATGAAGCAGTCAACACATAACTGCAATGTCAGCCGTAGACCTTGTTGTGGTCATGGTGAGTTTAAGACTGTGAGAAGACAACAATCAGGTCACACCGAGATAGATAGAGTACGGTCATGGATTCTGCATTGGAGCATTAGAAATCTTCCATATTGCCCCTTTAACTGACAGCTGAGGAGCCAGAATCAGATTTTGCTAACACAGCTATTGGATGTCGAACCAGATATGGAGGTGGTCAATAATGCATTTGTAATCTGACTAAAGGCCTTGATATGGACAGGGCATGAACAGCAGAAACACCACGATACTCTCTACATTGGGTGCCTGCATAGGTGGACAATCGACACATGTTTTGAAACTATCCAATCTGCTCCTGTCTTACATCTGGTCGCAGCAAAATTCAGGCTAACCCTGCAGCAGGAGGAGAGTCACTGCTGTGCCTACATGTTTACAGAGACCTGGCTCCGTCGTGGAATCCCAGTTCAAGCTGCACTAGACGGGGCGGACCGCAGGACAGAGCACAGGACACCGGTGGGAAGAGAGGAAGACAGGAGGCTGACTCTATGTTTACATCAATGATGCTTGGTGCTCAAAAGTAGTCAAAGTTGATGGACAATGTTTCTCTGATGTTGAGATGTTGATGTGAAGATGTCGTCCATATTATCTGCCCAGAGAATAGTTTTGTGGCTGCTGTTTACATCCATCCTAATGCAAACTTAGAAAATGCACTACAGGAATGCACTAATGTTTCTGTTTTGCTTTTTCATGTTTGCGAATGGACTACCACTGCATTTCGTTGTGCAATCCTGTGTTGCATAATGACAATACGTTATCCTTGAATCTTTGAATACTCCAGATTGTTGATTAGTGAGTTTCATGCAACCTCCCAATGCTCATGTTAATGACCGTCATTTTTAATACTATAAAACCAGAGTGACAATCTGTTAAATGAGCAATAACTGCATCTATATCTCATCTGTACTTCTCTCCGTGTCTGTATCTGTCCGGGACTAGTCATCTCGCAAAACACACCGGGATGATGAAACTGCTTCAGGAGACGCTAAACGAGAGTCATTAGAACAGATCACAGACACTCACAGATTTCTTTGAAGAGAGCGCCTGCAATGAGAGAAGTAAAAAGCACGGTTTAAATAAATGGCAGGGATCCTATCTCTCTTCCATCTCTCGATTCTTGTGTTTGTAGAAAACTGTCTCATTATCTCACTTTGAGGAACAAGCAGTAGAGAGTGATGGAAAGAGCTTGCATACCTCCCAAATAATTAATATAGTATTCCCCTGTCAGGTGATCTTGTGCCTTCCTGTTATTAATGTGTCTCTTCTACAAATGATGCATTCGTTGATTCTGGTGATATTTCAAAGAGAATGGGTCAAATCAGTAAAACCAAATCCAGATTTCACTCAGTTCAGCGTCCGTAGTGGAACTGCACTCCACTGAGTTCTTCTGTGAGCCCATACGCTTGTAAACACAAAGCAAGTGTTCAGAATTAAGGCAAATTGCCTACTTTGGCAATGATCCAAAGCTGGCTGGCTACTGTCCAAAATGGCCACAGCTGCAACAAACTCACAAACTGTGAATCAAGTGAACTGGTGCTGAATCGATTCTCTGCTGTCAGACAGGAAGAAAGAAATAATCAAGTTAATTAAGGAATCTGTCACCACTTTGGTGCATTCATTTTCCAGACACAACTCTGGGATCCTGCACTAGATTTTAAATGATGTTTTCGTAGACCTCCTAACCAAGACATGGGACTTAATGTACAACAGAAAGTTAATAATTCTTCATGGCATACCCTGTAAATCTAAGCTCATGATATTTGCATGTTGTCACGTCTTACGAATTGCAGCTGGCATTCCGTTTTCTGCAGTTTAAGTAAATGAGAAATGGAGTAAAATGGCATTGAAAGTCAACTATACAGAAAATTATTGCAGTTTGATGTTGTATTTTGAAGGTGGAAAACCCAAATTTGTGGTTTGTGCTCTTGTTGTTTAATACACAGAGAATGGTAAAGGAATTATGGAAATACAGCTAGATGTAGCATGCATGTACATGCTCTAATATAAACCCATAATACATGTATAAACCTACTAATGATCATGATATATCCCTTTATAAGAATGTAGTAAGAGTATTTAGGCATACCGCTCTTATTTTCCATTATATAAGCGTATTTTACCACGACTGCCTCTGTCTGAGAGCAGAGTGATGTTTTAGAACTAGTGAGGCTACTGTCTGACGACTTTTGTTTGATCGGCACAGCAAAAAGACGGCATAAAGGAAACAGATCATAAGACAAGAGAAGAACTCTCATCAAGTAACTCAAAATGACGTGGAACAAAACTAAATGTATGAACCAAAGGCCAATGCTCAATCTAAGAAAGAAAGACTAAAATTAGAAAGACAAAAAGAAAATGGATGATGATAAAACATAAAACATCAACTTACATGGGATTCCCAAATCACTCTTTGCTTTGGTCTCAGTTGACATCTGAAACAATGAACCTTGGGACGAGAAAAAAGGGGATGGAATGGATGGAGGAAGGGAGAGGAACACAACAATCAAAATCAAACAAATAAGTCAAATAAAATGGGACAAACATGGCAGGACATGGACACAAAAACTCCTCAACATGCAACGTTTGTTTCTTCCTTTGTGTCTTTCTACTTTTCTGCTCTCCTACATTACGTTTAGGTGCCTTAGTTCACAAATTAATATCAAAAGGTAAAAAAACAAACAAAAAACCCCCATTAATAATTTAAGAAAAAGGATAAATTGACGGTTACTGCTGTGTCATGCTGAGCGGTCCACCAAGTCAGACAGAAGGTCTATAACACAGGTGAACTGCTGAAGTACGGATGTATAATTTAAGTGCTGGTGTATAATTGATAAAGGCAAACACAGCAACATGGTGCGCTTAAAAGCTTCTTGTCAGACCAGCTGGAAGACACACTGATCATCAACAAAGGGCAAGAAAAACTGACAATGTCAAGTGGGGTGAAACATATTAACATACAGTAGCACACGTGCACAGCTGACAGGCATGATGAGGTGTTTCTTTTTTGCTATGTAGGTGAGCTTGGCTACGTTGCCCTGGGCCTGAATTTGCATATTTCAGCACTGTTTTAACAGATTTCTTATTATCGTCTTATATGACTTAGCAAATGACTGCATTTATGCGACTGTATCTAACAAATGTCATGCTGATTAATGTCTGAATAAGTGATGACAGTAGGAGCAACATGCCATGACAGGAACTTTTCTTGTTCCAATTATAACAATTGTTTTAAACAAATCCGAGAACATGATGGCAGGAAAATGAATCGTACATGATTTAGTAAGAGCCAACAGAAGCGTGACAAATGCGATAAGACAGACGAGATGAGGACAACACATTTAAGAAAAGGAAAAAAAAGCAGAAAACGACTAGCAAGTAGCTCAGGAAACACCAGAAAGTGAAGCGATTGGAATCCTCAATGAGAAGAAATGAGAAGATGCTCTGCAGTACCTGCTGACACGATGATCGCTATTTGTATAATGCAACAAACACGATCCAGTGTTCTCTCCCAACACTAAAGTTACATAACAGCTAGTGTCTCTGGTGATTACGTGTGGTTTTAAAGAACACAGCATGTTTTCTTTGCTCTGGAGGTATGTAGACACACTCACACTCACACAAATGTGTGTACACACACACACACACACACACACACACATACAGAGTAGGTAGTGAGTGAAATGTCATGCTCTCAAGGATGACACAGTGGAGCTCTGACTGAATCTGTTCCAGGAATCCTGATCAATGTGTCAGAAAAATGTCAACAGGCCAAAAGATACAAAACAAACTCTAAAAAAAAACACGTGAAAGACCTACAAATTCTGTCACAAGAAGACACACACACACACACACACACACATATATATATATCTATATATATATATTTACACACAGACTCACACTGATAAACACAAACACAAAAAGAGAGGAGGCACTCCATGCAGGGCAGAAGTGAGGTCAAATGGATTTCTACCTCTCAGGATTTAACAGGACAACTTCAGAAAAAGGGCAGCGAGAGACGGTGGAGGAGATTAATAGAGAGGCGGGAGGTGTTGGTGGAGAAAGAGAAAAATAGAGTGAGAGTAGAGTGAAGTGCTTTTTGAGCACAAAGTCAATTACAGAGTGCTATCTAAAACATTAACTCCCCCCTCTTCATTGACATTATCAGTTCATTCACAAACCTGAAACCCTAAAAGTTACAACTTTTAAAACCAGCACCTAACAACTGTAAATTGAGTGTGAAGATCTGTATTTTAAAATGTGAGAAACGTATTTAACTGAAACAAACACAAATTGTAGTTTATATCTGGATTTGTTCCAACATCACTTTCATTTCAAACGTTCTCTACATTTAATGAGGAAATATTTTTGGTGCTTTACTGATGTGAAACAATGCAAACGTAACTGCCCTATTGGATACCAGCAATGAACCATTTTCTGTCTGTGTAAAGATAGCATTTTAAAAGACCCATCATTCAAAAACCAAATGGAAGAATGGTACAAGAATCACTTCAAGCCTTTCAAATATACTCTACCTATAAAATGCTGTACACACAGAAACCCCCACCAACAACCATACACACACACACACACACACACACACTTCATGGATTTCCGTAAATGCTACAGGAAACAGCTGAAACATTAGTGCTGACATAAAACCACGTCTGTGGAGTCATTTTAAAGACAGAAAATCAATCAGGGGAAATGAGCCTAAATCTATACCTCTCTAGGTTTTATCCCAGATTCTGTGGCCATACCTCACAGGCCTCAGGGAATCCTTCTGATGGAGCAGAGACAGTATATAATACACTGCGTAAGTTGTGGGCAGGGCTCTGCATATACAGTAACCTCTGTCAATAATGCGCCTACGGGCAAAGCTTTTTGACGGATTACATAATTTGATTCCAATCAGTCTGACATTGTCTCCATTGTAACCGATTTTCGTGGGGGAAGGGTTGTACTTTTCCTAATCAAATCACAAGAGACCAACGCATCTGCCTTCATCTGACACTGACGCCTGTAGCCATGCCAACACCCTTGTGTTGCCGCGGTTTTAAGAGTGGAGCTTAGCAAAGTAAAAACACTTTTAATCGACTTAGAACAACCTAAATAGCAGCATCTATCGTGTCTATGATGCCCATGTTGGTATTACTCCTCCTTAGTTGCGGAGCACAGCTTAACACCTGACAACACTTGGCTACAGCTTGACAACGGCGTTAGTCCCCCCCCTGTGGCGCTCCTTGGATCAATTGCTTTTTCATCCGAGAAACAGCATCTTAATGTCGTGATGCCAGACCAATCAGTCAACTCGCAGCAGTGGGCAGATTTAAAGGTGTGGACCCAGGCAAATTATACTACCATACTATTTAGTATGCCAGAACAAGATTAAGTATGTCCCAGTACATAGTATGTCAAATGCAGTATGTCAAAAATACCAGGACGTCCTACTGCATCCGGTTGCATTTTGAACCATGCAAACCAGCCATCTTTTCTGGTTATTCTGACCCACAATCCTCTGTGCAGCGGAAGATACGTCACATCCACTGAGCTGCCGAGAGAGCACAGACAGATGACAGCCTGATGGCAGCTCATTGACAGCTTTAAATTCCACGCTCTGGACTGCATATTATATAAGATCATCGCATGTCTGTAGTGTCGCTGTATGGATGAAAAACTGTCATCTGAAGAAAATGAGTCAGAGAAATGTAGTTGAGTAAAAAGTACAATATTTATCTCCGAGAGTGGAGTAATATATCCAAAGACGAGGATTGTAACCAATTTAATTTAGTGATACAATGGTGACTGGGTCCGCCCACTTACTGTCGAAAAGAGAGCCCACCCAGCGAGCAAGCAGGTGAAAGTTGCGCGAGCAGAAGAGCACTGCTAAAAATTTGCGTTCAAAGCATGGCTTTCTCCTTGCAGCAAGTTTGCTCGCGCCAGCAGATATATTCTCCGCAGAGTGATGGCAACCCAAGAATGTCTATCAATAGGACCATGGGACTGCCTCAGCCAATTTACATGGTAGACAGCTATACTTCTATTAATAATTTTTAGGCTGCAGAAAGATTCATTTTTTTCTAGGCAGGTCCTTAAATTATTCATTTTTTATGAAACATCTTAAGACGAATGCAGACATGATCCGAGTCTCTGCAGTATATGGCTGCCATGTTGTGTGAAAGGAAAGACCAATAAGAATTGGTGGCATAATTACAAGCACAAGTGTGTATGTGCACTTGCTTCAAACTTGTTTCTGTTTTTACCTTTTCTCCCTTCTCTTCACCCTGACAGGCCTCTCTCTCCCCCCCCCCCCCTCTCTCTCTCTCCCCCTTTCTCCATGTCAGATGCTTGTCTGCCAATTACTCTGAGAACAGGGAGTAACAAGCACTATTCCTAAAAGTCAACAAATAAAATTGCCTCCACCCTGGAAAAACTGCTGCTGCTATGTTTGTGCCATTATGACTCAGCCCACATTTTCCATGTGGTTTTGAAATTAACCACACTTTTCTTTTTTTTTTCTGGTGTCAGAAATCACTAAATGTGGGGGATTTTGGATGATTGTTCCACATAAATATCTATTACAGCGCAACCAATATGGGATTTTTGTGGCCGATGCCGATTCCGATATTCCAATTCCACTACAATATATTTGTCAACTATATATATTGTTTTTCATTATTATAATTGTACTTTTTTATAAAAATGAATTGTATTGTACAGTTCAACAATAAACGTCAGTGTTTCTGCGTTATATTTCAGCTCATTTTGAGGAGTCTTTAATGTCACATTAGTTTCTCTCCTTTCCTCTTCTATGTTTCACTGAGTTTGAACATTGCGCACGTCGAGTGAGCAGCAAGACGGCATTCAAACGATCGGCGGTCTCCTATCTTTTTGCCCTCACCACCAATAGTAGCTGGTCTGTGTCAATAAAGTTAGGCTGAAAAACCTTAAATGCAGGCAAAACTTTAACTCTGGTGTTCTGTCGTGAGATGCAGTAACTTTATACCAAGAAAGAGAAGTGAGTAAAAAAAAGTCCCACAACCTATGCAGTGGGCTAAATATCTACCATTACTTTCCTTATAAAACAAGTGTTTTTACCTTGAGTAATGTACAAGAAAGTGGTGAAACTAAGGTTAATTATGATGACCATCAAAGACCAAACCTATACATCATCTACAGTGCACAGAAGAATAAAGTACATGTGTAAAGCAGAGCGAGAACAAATCACTATAAAAAAGGAGAAAGGGGAGCAGGTAGGCTCCTGGAGAAAGGCATAAAACCAGAGGGTCAGAGTGGATGAGGCAAGAAAGATGGCAGTGAGGATAGGAGATGTAATGGAAAGAATGGCAGTGGTTGCTGGAGGACTAGAGAGTGAGATGAGAAGACGGATGAAGAAGACGAGCGGTGGAAAGAGACATATAAAAACAAATTGTGTTAATTTGACGGAGAATAAAACCCCGGACGTTGTGGTTATATGACATGCGCAAGGCACTCCGAGACACAGGATTTTAAAATCAATACTGATTTTCTAACATATTCAGGAGCAATATCTGTAAGAAGAGTACGAATACTTTAGATATCAGCTTAGCCAAGTACATTCCCTTTCAGGGTTAATTTCATTGATACTATATTTAGTGATGGATTTCTCGTTATGGATCAGTGCTGTAAACGAACCCATAATTTGTCAAGTTACATTCCACCCACTCCTGTTCTTCAGCTAAATATCTGACCATGCATTTCTACTCCATCGGCCTGCCTAATCCGGGGTCAATTCACTTTCAAGTCAATTCCCATCTGAAGCAGTCACTGCAAGACATTTGTTCGAATTGGCGTACTCATCTTTCATGGTTAGGTACTATACATGACACAACTTCAATACATTTAGAAGAGATACATCGATGCTTGTCCTCTGGAAGATTCATTGTAGTCAACTTACTTTGCATGCAGAGTCCGTTGGTACAGTTCTGAGACTGGAGCACCAGCCCATCGCAGTCCTTTCCTCCGTTTTTAGGTGCTGGGTTGTTGCAATCCCTCCTCCTCCACTGAGTGCACTCTGTCCCACAGGCTGACCACTTACTCCACTCTGTCCACACGCCGTCCACTGGAGGAAAAGGATTGGGAAAGAAGCAAAAAGATTGAGAAACAAAACAAAAAGACAAGGAGCATTTACAAAGAGAAATATTGGGCGGAAAAAAGTACAAAAAAGAAAAGGGGTGGAATGCAGCAGAAGCTGAGTTCAGGACAGAACACATGAAAGTTTAGGCCACATATTAAAACAGCACAAAGAAGAAAGGGATACAATCCATTGGCCCAATCTGCATGAATATGGATAGAATCAGACTATAATTCACTCACCAGTGCACAGTGTGGTACAGGGCAGTTTCTGAATGGCCTGTCCATCACACGGCAGTCCTCCGTTGAGAGGGGCGGGGTTAGTGCAGCTGCGGGTTCGTTTCTGGAAACCCCGTCCACAGCGACTGTTACACACCGACCACTCCGTCCATGTTGACCAACCACCGTTCACTGTGGCAACCGAGATCAGTAACTTAATCAATACAGTAATCCACACATGCATTAATAAGCCATTCCAACAAAAACAGCAATCTATTACGCTGGCCAATCAAGGAGTTGTTACTTTCACCTCAAAAAGTATTGGCAAACCACAAAGATCCCTTGCACAACACAATCATCAATGACCCCACACATGTCCTCTTCGAATACTTTAAGCTAATACCATCAGTAATGTGTTTTAGATTGCCTGTATGTCAAACAAATAGTAAGTTTGGTTTTACTCCAGAGGCCATTAACCATACAGACGCAGTACAAGACATGTGTGTGGATTGATGAACGCAATTAACCCTTTGACACTTTTTGACATAAATAATGTGCCTCTGTGGTGTTGGATATTGTTGGCCAGCTGTGGCTTGACCGCTGTCATTAAGTCTGTGTATTTGTGTTTGCAAAGCCTGCCTCAAATTGCCCCTTGAGGAATGAATAAAGTAGGCTTGATGGAATTGTAGCAGACATACCAACAGAAAAGCCTCAACGTATGTGATATTTATACAAATTAGGTCTGTGATGAAACAATCAAATGGGCACAGAGAGCATTATAATCCTATTGAATCAAAGAGGCATCATCCTCAATGGATGAATCTGTGATTTGAATGCATTGTTCATTTTAATTGAACTATTTGTCTCCATGGGCTTCAGTGTGTGTTTTACACATGCCAGGGGGCTGGGTTGTTGAAGTCTAGAGAGAACAGCTGGATTTTCCTGCACAACGAAACCACACACACACACACACACACACACACACACAAAATCTTGAGCAACCTGTTGCTGCACAATGTTTTTCCGCTGGTCATACTCACTAATACACACAGAGAAGGGCACACTGACACACGTATGCCTACCCACGCAGTTGTAGAACCTACACATGGTAAAAGACACATACACTGTCATGCTGCTTGCAGATTGTTTAACCCTAGACCCTTGTTAGAGAGAGCAGGGAGAGGGCAAAATAACTATTATAAGGAATCATGGTTCTTTGAATATGAGTTTTCTGAATCCTTAACGCCAAAATAAATAATGCGTTTTTATAATCTGCCTGCATCTTTTCTCTTTCCTTGTCTCTCTGTGTATCTTTATCCACTTTCTCCCTCTTGTTGTCTTTGTACCTCAACAAGATTTCCCTGCATCCCGTCACATTTAGACTCAATCGTTGCGTCATTATTTTTGCATTAGTGTTGTTTTTCATGAGAAAAAATGTGGCAGCACGGTGCAGACAAAGATAAGGGCGAGCATGACAGAGAGAAATCAGGTACAGAGTTAGAATGAGTCACAAGGACACCCAAAGAGAGGGAGTTGACATCCAGAGAGGTGGGTTGAAATCCCCTCTGCTGCATCTCAGCCCAGTGGATGGTGCCCACTCCTTTCCCAATGCCCAATTAGAAATGAATCATCAGAGAGAGAGAGAGAGAGAGCGACCGGTAAAATCAGGTACAATCACTTTTGTCATCTGCTTTCTTAGGTTTGTCTACTCTATTTTCTTCCTCACTCACCTGCCGTCTTCCACTCTCTTCTCCTCTGCCTCTCCTTTGTCCTCACCTGTCTCCCATCCATCTATATAGCTACTCTGCTTTTCCCCCCTCATGTTTTTGTTTTTTTCCCGCTACTATTTCACCTTGTCAACAGTGTCAGTCGGGCCCTTGTGGAGCCGAGAAGATTGAACCACAGATTGAACAATCTATTTCTGTAAGGATACATCAGTGTCAAACCACTCCATCTCTCGCTGTCTGTATTGAACACGTACACATGCACAGTTATTTTTGATTGAAACACTCTTCCTAGTGAATAGACACAGTGTTGGGTTTTAGAGAAACACTGTGCATGTGTGTGAGTGTTCTGCTATACATTGTTCTCAAAGTGTTTCCTATTCTCTCATGTCAGGCTGGCATTTGGTAAAACAGGGAAAAAAAGAAACGGCATGTGTGGAGTTTTCTTCCTCTTAACAAGCTTTTTCTTCTCAGTTTTTCGTAAGAAATAGCAAGAGAAGAGCATCGCCGGGAAAATAGAAGAAGTGAGCTAATTCAAAGTTGTTGTTATTGTTTTTCACAGCTGTTATCATGCCATATGCTGCACAATTCATTTGACAGTGGGACTCTTGGCTGAAAGTGCAGACATTTGGAAATCCTGAGTGTTCTAATTTAAAACTGAAGGCGTGATTGGTCGATTTTAATTGGGTGAGGTCAAGGGTGATGTTGGGATTTCAGGCCAATCACAAAGAGCTAATTTCATGTGGCAGATGGGGGCTGGCTTGGCTTATCAGACACATTGTTGGGTAGCTGCAGATAGCATTTAAAATGGTGTCATATGAGTAAAACACTCAACATCAGACACAACAAAAATGTCACCTGCATTCAGGAAAAGAGAAAAATTACAACTTTTAGTGACAATATTTTCAAGCAAACTTAACAAAGACCCACACAGACAGGAGCATGCAAACGTACCGTAAACAATGACAGTGGCTGTGGTGCTTCGTCTTTTGGCTACTATGTTCTTAGCCACACATGTGTAGTTGGCTGTGTCAGACAGACGCGCCTGTTTGATGATCAGGTTGTGGTCGATGGTGATGTAGAAGTTTCTGTCCTCTGCTGGGTCAATTATTTCTTCGTTCTTCAACCACTCCACCTGGGAGAGACAGAGAGAGGAGGAAATGAGGTCAGTATAAAGGTTTTCGAAAAGATCAGAACAATGTAGCTGACAAGAGATTAGTAAATTGTGTTATTGTGTAATGACACAATGGTCTTTATCTAATTGTAGAGGTGCCTGCATTAAGTCAAAAAACAAATGAAATCAAATAAACAATTATTAATACGTTTTTGCAACTTATCATGTGATGGAATCTGAATTGTAAGTCGCTTTGGATAAAAGCGTCTGCCTAATGATTGTAATATAATGTATCATTAGATCTTGCCAGCTGAGGTCAATTATAAAATAATGGTATAATCTTGTTTTCATAACTGATCCACCCCAAGACAAAAATAAATAAAGAATTGTTTTGAAAGTGACGTTTGTCTAAAATAGTCCATCTGTAAGAGCAAAAAAAGAAAAAAGAATCCAGTTTGGTTTAATCTTGTTTTCGATCTGTCAAGATGACAAATAAAGATGGTGTGGAAGGACTTATAATAGGTGATGGTGTAATCTTGTTTTTCACTTGTTGCACACAGAAAAGCTTTGAGGAGATGTCACCATTGAAAATCCAAATATATAAATATGTGTAGGAGTCGTAGAGGAGGCTCCTATCTTGTGACCTAGTCATGGTTCATCTTGTAAAAAATATTCTTATGTATTAGAAATCACATTTAAAATTCACAAGCAAATAAAATCCCCTTGTGAGGTAGGATGTAAAAATGATAGAAATAATGAAATGATTGCCTACAGGAGGTTGTTTATGCATCAAGTTACAGAAATCATACGTTTTAAAAGCAAAGACACGGGGCCCTTCACAACATGGGTGGCAGTGTAGAAAAAGAGGAAAATGTACCGAACATATGCTTTCGCAAGGTGCTTTGGGTGAAGGGTAGGACAGCGGGAAACTATCCTATTTACGAGCCTAATCACATTTCCTGAGTGCTGTATTTACTGGTCCAAACCCTCATAAATTTAGCCTCTCCAAGCTTTATAGCAAGCAGATAAAAGTCCGAGTCATGTTGTTTAATTCACGTTGTTTAATTTCCTCCACCCTTCGCATTAGGAAATGGAAATCTCAGATGGAAATTCAGTGTTATTCTTCGGCTTGCTGCCTACCCCGGCTCGGCTGTCATTCTTCTCTTTCTGTTATTCTACCTGCTTCTCTCTCTGATCTTTAGAGATTCAGCTGTGTGCTCTTTGGCCAGGGGGTTCACTGTAGCCTTGAATTCTCAATCTTAAGTGAAATGCTGTGTGACCTTTCAGTTTCCATTACAAAGTAAAGGTTATATACTGGAGAATAAAAGCAAAGACAAACAAACAAATACATACATATACACAGCAGGAACAGTCAGCCGAGGAGTTCATCCTCGTACTTTACAAGTGCAAAAAAAAAAGTCTCTCCGCTCTCTGGCAAACCAAAGCAAATACATGTGTGTAATAAGGATTTTTATTTATATATATTTATATAACTACCCTGAGGTAGTTATATAAGCTGTGCTGTGGTCACGGAGGAAAATAACATTGTGTACGGTCATCAGGTAGTGTCTCACCCCTGACATGAATTTGCCGCTCGATGATCAAAGCCCCGTTATAAAGTATCTTCGGTGAATATTGGAGGGTGAAAGATGAAATAAGTTAACAAAAAAATGAAAATGATCTAAAGTGAAATCTCAGTTCCTGGAAAATTGATGTGCTGGCACATTATGCTGCTAAGGATATCAATTTAAAAATAGGCAAGACTGTGGCCGTGATTCAATACGTTCTACCATAACAGAGCATGGACACTTAACCTCAAGTGTCTTGTTCATTGTACAAAGTAACATAAAATCTCTAACCTCTTTACTCATAATACTACTCAGAATTTACTATTTAAACTTCTACAACTGTCTTATCACAATCTCTATTCTAATCCCTTCTTGACTTACTTCATGTTAAAACTATGCTGTTTATGTATTCAACCATTTGCTTCTTAGTCCCTTCATTCTCCAAACACTGTTAATAAACTACTGTCAGTCAACAAAAGCAATGAGCACAACTTGGCCACCAAGTTACAGTATCTTCCAATTAATTAACCTGGGGGACCTTCTAATCCAAAAATTGCTTACTCTGGCCAATTCTACTGCAATGCTAAAACAAGCGCAAGATAGTTGTGTGTGTGTGTGTGTGTGTGTGTTTCTGTGTTGAAAACTAACATTTAAAAGCAAATATGTGTTACTTGCCATTGTAATTAAACCAACAGTACTTTTCTCTAATGCCACAATTACACAATTTATTGCTACATAATCCAAATCATAAATTAAAAGTCCTTCCAACAAAATATGACCACATACAACTAGCAACATTTTATCAAACGTGACTGACATGGTAGGGCTTGTGGATTTATGTAATCTGCAATCAATTCATGAATCATTCTATCTTGTGTAGTAGTGAGCTTCAGCTCCGAGGTGTATGATCAGATCATTTCCCAGCGAAATAGAATAAAACTAATACAGGCCTTTACTGGCAGCTAAGGTCTCGTGTGACGATGAACTGAAAATAGCTGCGGCCTTTTGATGATGCCTGAAGGTTGAGCGCGTTGGACTGATGTGTCCTCCGCTGGGCTCAGACAAAGAGACCACATGTGGCGGCTATACTGCTACTGCCACCGCATCATTACCCACAGCTGGTGTAAGGGTTTGTGTGTGTGAATGACAGAAGGTGGCTGATTGGATCAAGCCAACCCCAGGGGGAATGTGTATTTGTTATTTTAACTCTTGCCCTCACATGGCTGTCTCGCTAGAAACAAACTCTCTCTCTCTCTCTCACACACACACACACACACCATAAACATTTTGTTTATTGCCATGCTGCAGATATCAAATAATGACATTATACATGCCTGTGATCACGCATACACACACACACAACACCTTTGACACACTTGACACGTGCACAAACAGAAGCAATACTCTTGTCCTCTGTTTCAACTGTAACATGGTTTTGAAAAAGGTTCTGGAAGAGTCCATCACTTTTTTTTTGGCTTTCTTTTCAAAGGGAAACAAGGCTTTGTCTGATCAATTACACACCCACTTTGTTCATGTTTTCTTTGTGCTTGACCCAGAGACTGAGACCTTAATTTGCCTACAGGTATATTTCAAACCCTGTGCCCCTGAATACTAGATAGAAGCAGCTTTGTCTTTCCTCAGTTCTTAATAATGTATGTGCTTACAGTATTTACATATTATAATGTATCACTCCTCCCTACAAATATATTGCAATATCCAAACGTTTGGATATTGCAATATATTTGTAGGGAGGAGTGATACATTATAATATGTAAATACTTCCGTAAGTTGTCTTACTCGCAAGCTAAGGACAAATGTCAGATATTTTGCTGTGCAATTTTAAGGCAGCAGAAAAGCGTACTATATTGCACAATCTATTGACATTTGCATCTTTCTTTAGCACTGAAACAAAGGCTCGGTCGCATGCTGTGCAAGATAAAAGCAGGCCAAGATATAAAGATGTATACTCCATTTTGTTGCACTTGAGAGCAGCACAAAATGTTTCGAATTGCAAAGCTTTGCCGTATATCTGCTACCGAGAGCAGGGACATCATAGTCACAGTGTGTCAGAGGGAGAAACACAGTGTAAATCTTGCAAAAGCAAAACAAATGGCAGACCACAGAACAAGAAGTGAGACAACAAAGCAAAGCATATCTATGACAAATGCTAAAATGTGACATGCTTTGTAGAGCCACTACAAAGAGCCTCATATGGGAGTTGAAAACAGCGCAGAGATACAGCATCTATGCATAAAATCTTCCACTGAATCACAACATTAATTTTTCAAAGTAGCAGCAGGCACAAATACACAGATACACAATAAGGGTGTGACGAAACACAATATAGACCAGTTACAATAAAATCTGATTCTGCAATCAAAGACGGGGACATCAAGCTGTACTGCATGTGTGTGTGCGTGTGTGTGTGTGTGCGTGTGTGTGTGTGTGTGTGCGTGTGTGCTTGTGAATCACTGAAGTGTTAATATGATCATCCCCTTGATTAGCTAAATTATCTGGATCCCTTTAAGACCACAGATGAGTGGGTTAAAGAGCTACCGAAGTGATTACTCTACCTATGTGTGGGCGTGGACTGAGTTTGCTTTGTGTGTCCATCCATGTTTTAATAACTCCAGCCTCCACAACCACCACCCACTCAAGCAAGCTTTGCCACTTCATTTCATGGCAATCTGAGACCCGGCATCAGAGGAGAGAGACAGTGGACGGATAAGGACAAAGAGCTAAAGGGAGTAAAGTTATCTTTGTTTCAACTGACCACAGGGTTTGTTCAGGGCAATTGTTTTTGTATCTTTTGAAATAAGGATGGGGAAAAAAACTCCAATCCAATCGGTTTTAGTTTTGTGCATTAATTTGGCACATCTTGGTCTGAATCATCCTGAGGATGTGCCCATAAACAAATTGCATCTGAGTTATACGTGTAAAGCTTTTTACTCGTTAATTTAATGTCTACCCTGTCTCAGAGAAACTACCTTGATATAATTTGTTTTGCCAAGCATGTTTTAAGGGAAACATAATTAATTGCTGGATTATGTCCACAGGCAACATTCTTTTCATATGGAGGAAGTGTTTTAGTACTGCATATACAAAGCTGCAGGACTTTGACAGGTTTAGTCAACAAAAGCACTTTGGTTTGGGAACGATAATGATTTTGGTGATATTTGACTTTTCAATGTTTAACAAGGATTTTTCCCAAACCGTAACCAAGTTCTTTAAGTGTCTAACCGAATACATAATTCATGCTTTATTTGCTATAAGTGGATGTTCTATAGATATATACCACATATAAGGCAGTGTTAACCTCACACTCAGTGTCCAACACTAAAGCTGAATATATTTTTACGGGCTGCCTTTGGCGAACGTTTATGGGAGTAACTGAGACGTTTGCATGACTGTTTCTTTTATACCTATATGAATTATTTTTAAGATATTTATTTT